TAACTTATCCTTTTCTTAACAAAAGTTGCATACCTAAAAAAAAGTGTAGGTCGCAAGGTTGCATTACTTTATGCGATATTTGCGAAATAAACATTACCGCAACAAAATAAAAAACGTTTAACACTACCTCGACATTTGCATGTTTACACTACCGCGGCAATTCATTGGTTTTGACTAATAATAATAATAATAATTTCAATTAAAAACCTCTTGTCCACTGAAATATCATACAATAAAACATATAGTATCATGACCAGGAATAATTGTTTACATCTCAACTTGGTCACATTCGGGGGCAACACATTTTGTTTCATTTCAAGTAGTGGTATTTTGGGGGATCTGCGAACTCTTCAGACTTCAGTCAGTGTCGTAATCAATAATTTGACGTTAAATGTAAGTAATCGTGATAACGGATGAAAATTTTGTTGAAAATTTGAATGTATTTGATTCATTATATATATAAATAAATTTTATTTTCCTTTAGACTTACACAAACAAAAAATGATATTTTTACTTCATTTACCAGAATTTGGTGTGTATAACCTTGTAATATTATATAAATCTTATGTTATATTTGATAAAACGTGCAGTTCATTTTCGAAACCGGTCATATAAACTTAATTTTCTGCCGAAATATAGCTGAAATATTGCCGACTCGGCGTTAAGGACTAATCAATAAATCAATCAATCAAATTGGAAAACGTGATTCACATTCATAAAACTTTTTATGCGAAAAGTTTAATATACTTATATTCGAAAATCTGTTATTTACAGGTATATGCAAAAGCTTGTGATTTATTGTCGATAATATTGTGATGTAATTGCAGAAAGTTATAATATTCACATTCGAAAACTTGTTAAGTACTAGTATATGTAATAATCTTGTGATTTACATGCCATAAATTTGTGAATGTTATGCGAAGAGTTGAGGTATCCTAAAGTGTAATATTTAATATGTACAAAAATTTATGAATAATAATCTTGTGATTTGTTATTGAATATAAATCACAAGATTTTGCGTATAAATCACAAGATATTGCATATAAATCATGAGATTATGAACATAAATCCCATGACTTTAAATGCAAGTCATAAATCATAAGATTTGTTTTCACAAGATTATCGAATCACAAAATTTTGCATATTTATATTTTGAAAACCACTATTCAGATCAGAATGAAATTTGGCACACATATAGTCATAAACATGTTCTATAAATAGCAGATGTTACATAATGTTCTGCTCCATTTGTGACGTCACAATGTGAAAATGACTTTAATATGTATATGACTTGTGACAAAAAATGGCTGACTTAGTCTTACTTGAGCAACGAAAGGCTGTAAAGTTTAACATATATCTTGGAAATTCCTTTGCAGAAGCATATAATAATTTGTACAAGGTTTATAAGGACAAGGCTTGCCAGAAATTTAATCATTAATTGGATTGATTGTTTTAGTCATGGAAGGGAGATGGTTAAAAATGATGTTTGTTCTGGTGCCCAGTGAAAGTAAGCTGGAGAAGAGATGTGTCCTTAGTTGCGCAATTTGTTATGAAAGATCGCCAAGTTACAGTTAGAAATATAGTTGAATATCTTACGAATATTATAATTATTAAATTCCTAAAACACCCTTTAATTTAGACTTTAAACAAATCAGATATGATAAAATGAAGGCGCCCATACTTTATCCATAATGGAAAATGACGCACCAAAGACAGAGAAGTCGGGTTGTGATGGTCACCATGCTCATTCTGGCAAAAGATATCCTTATCCACTCATCCTATTGTCGAGATTTGGCCATTTATGACAAATGGACTATTCTTATTTTAAAAAATAACTTGCCTGTTAAGAAATATAAGACTCGGAGAAATCTTTACGGAGCATGTCATGTGACCGCCTGGATCACGTGATTTGCGCAGATGTGCATTAAAATAAAAAAATAATAAACATTGAAATCTAATTTTATTTATTTTATGGAAGTTATTCGATTAGTTTGCGAAGGTTTTGATCACCCCTCGTAAATCACATTACGTATATGAATAACAATTAGCAAATATAAATCACAAGATTTAGAATATGAATAACAAGTAAATGAATATGAATATCAAGTTTTCGAATATTTTGAATATAGTTTTATAAAATTTGAAACAATATCTGTAAAATAATGACAAGTTTTTTAAACCATACCAGAGATGAATAATTTATCTCATTTACATGTTTTTTTTTATTATTATCAATGCACTAAATATTTAAGTAGCCGAGTAACCCATTTCGTTCCATAAACCACTTTCCTTACCAAAAATATTGCCTTCCTGAAAAAAATTGCTGAAAGTTTGCAGCAGACATTGCTGCAAGCTTGCTGCAATGAAGCTAAAGAAACCATGACAGCCTATACAAAACCTTTGTGTTTGCAGCAAGTTTCCGGCAAGTATGCAGCAAGCTTGCAGCAAACATTTTACCATGCAAATGAGGTTTGCTGCAAGTCTGCAACAAACATTGGATTTTCCCAATATGGAAACCTTGCTGCTAACTTGCGGCAAGCATTGCTGCATACTTGCGGCAAACATTACTGCTAACTTGCAGCAAACAGTTCAGTTACTACTTTGAGCACATTCCCGCGTATCAGCAGCAAGTTTGCAGAAAGCCTTTGTCCTGACCTTAATTATAGATATCCACCACCATGTTTCAAGTGACGCAAGATTCTTAAGTGTGAGAGTCTATCTTTATGTTCCTACACAATGTTCCCACACTATTCATAATTAAAATATGCTATAAAAATGTTTATTTCCGACATATACACAACATTATAGAACATTTGCACATAACTTTTAAAGTAAAAATTCAAAAGAAAACAAGCATTCTGAGAGTATTGCATTAGCAATAGTAGTCCCCTACAAGCAAGTGTAATTTGGTTCCCATTACAAATTGAAAATTCCATAATTCTGTCATAAATCAATGAAGCGGAACAAAATGCAAACTTGATCTATAACTCATCAAGGTAAAGTCACATACCAAAAATCAGCTCAATATCTGCAAGCGTTTAGGAAAAAAGTGCGGAAAACCAAGTGGGACAGACTGACTGACAGACAGACGGACAGACTCAGAGGAAACCTAAAGTCCCCTCCGGTTTCACCGGTAGGGGACTAAAAACAGTGCAAATACTATTTTATGTGAACACATAGTGACATCTATTATAATTGATTTGGAACATTTAACACATAAAAGAAACATACAGATGTGATATTAAAATAAAGACTGAAATTCATAAATAGATTTGACCTACATCAGTTACTTGAACATATTTTAAAAATGTTAAAGAGATAATTGTTTAACATTAAAATAAAACATAATCAAATCTTACCAATTAGATGTTATGTATGCCAAAATACACCTACATCCAGAATTATGCTTTTGTAATCATTCAAAGTGGCATTTATTCCTAACAAAATGCTGAAACATCTTCAACTTAAATTGAAACATTTCAAAATGGCGAATTCTGTGTTGATCTCAGTATAATCTGCGTTTCATTGGCTGATTAGACTTGTTTACTGTTCTTATGAACTTCCTGCAGACTTTCAATTTGTTAAATGTTTCCCGCGAACTTGTTGCGAACAACAGATTGGCGTGTATGTTTCTTGCAATGTTCCTGCGAACATGTTGAGTTCCTGCAAATTTGCTGCAAGCTTGCAGCAATACCTGCAATGTTTGCCGCAAGATTGCATCTGCGAACAAGAATTTTTTCTTCCTGCGTACAATTTTGTTTGCTGCAAACTTGCTGCAGGTCTAGCTGCAAATATATCAGTTTGGTAAGGGTTATTACATGTACTAGTAGTTCGAGAGTGAGCAGGTGTCCAGCTCTTACTTTTTCTAAGAAGAATCTTTCGCTGTTTATTGTGCATTTAGATTTTCATTCAACCCCTCTCCCCCCCCCCCCCCATTTCTTGTTGCAGTATCATGGTTGAACCCTCTAACATTATTGACGTTATTGTAAACAAAGAAAAGACAGATAGTAAACTTTTTTATAACCTATGTAGGAACACGTCTCTATATTCTTTCATATATTGCCAGAAGTGCTCTTCGTCAGTTCACTATTAGATTTGGTAGCATAGACAAATCAAATTCGTTTACAAACGTTGATTTACGATTTTACCCTATTTCCTTTTGAGGACAGTGTCTAAATGCCTCTAGGAAACAGTGTCCCTGTTGTGTTTATCAATGTGCTAGTTGTTATAGAATACATGTAACCGCTTTATCAAACTTCAAGGCAATAAATAAAACATAATAATCTATAAAATTCTCGACTTGGATAAAGAGATGAAATTTTTTTGTCCTTAAATCTTTAATGTTTTCCAACCAGAAATGGTATTGTTCTCTTGTCGGTTAAAGTGATTACATGCGCGGATCTAGAGGGGGGAATCAGACCTCCCCTCCCTGGAATTTGCAGAGTTATTAAAAGTATAATACTGAAGCAAATAAAAAATGACTTTGGATCCTCCCTAGAAAACGTGGACACCACCACCACGTAATAGGATTTTTCATGTTTGGGAAACAGATTATACGTTTTTTTTCTGTTTTTTTTTTAACTGGGATGTACCACCCCCCCCACCCCCCCCCCCCCCCCCCGGGAAAAAAATCCTGGATCCGTCCCTGGATTATTATATTATATTATTACCATCATCAAAAAATCTTTGCATAACTTTCTATGTTCTCTGTTTGAGCTGGTAAGAGTCTATGTAGTTTCCGGACGCTAAAATATTGACGAAACATAAAAAAATAATATTATATAAACAGCTCAACAAAGTTTTATACATATGTTCCATATTTTAAGTTTTCAAACATTTCAAATTCCAATAGGAAAAAACTAATAACGTTTTGGTGAATGTTTCATAAATCAGTGGCATGAACCTTTTTCATGTTAAGTCGCCGGAGGTAAAATTATTTCTTCTTGGCCATCACTCCCCATGATCTGAACACAGAGCCTGCATACAGTGAGTGAGCAGGTATGAATGAACAAGAGACATTTACAAACTGGGGAGGTCCTAGGCGTAGCAGGAGTTTGGGGGATCTCAATAAAACAAGTAAGAATTACACAAGGTCTGTTCAATATAATATATGCTACAAACAAATTTAAAATCTTTAAATTAAAGAATTTTTTTTACCATGAAATTCTGATTCATAACCCTTTATGACTTAGACAAATGATGGATCCAGTATTCTCATGAAAAGGAGATTCTATTGTAAAGAATATGGTCATCTTTACATGTATCATTAGACTCGTTAAACCTGCCTACACCTACACTGATTTTTCCAAAATAACAAGGTAAAACTACTTTAAGTTGAAAGGCGATTAAAGCTTTCGACTCCTGATATATTGTCAAAGAAATTTGAGTAATTTTATAAGTGGAGATATCCAAAGTGACTTTGTTTATTATTATGCTGTTCATTCATAAACGACTTTTACAGATTACATGAATCTGATTTTACCATTAATGGCAATATAACAAAGTCTAAGCCTCTTATTCTCAAAGGCTTTAAGGAAACATCTCCATGATGTATTGTTGTATCCGGATCCGATGCGTTTATCTCGAGCATGAAGACATTTAACAATTTCAACGACGAGATAGAAACTTTCTAGGAAATATTGTCAAACACAGCCAAATTAATTCTTGTTTGTATGGATAAACCGCACATCGAAGTCTTCAAGCATTCTACTAATGATTAAAACAAATTTACAAAAATGATACATTATTCCATTTTAGGCAAGCAAACAAACTTAAGCCAAATATTTCTCATCTTTTGAATCTTGCATTGTTCATGAATGTTCTACCTAAATAATAAAAGCGAAAAAATTCTATCCTTTCACCTTTCTTGAGTTAAACTTCCGTTGGCTGTAACTTAGAGCTGCTCAGTCATTTCTTAATGAGTTGTGTAAGGAACTTTTGAGTCAACCTCATTTCTGCCTGTACTTTCTATATACACATCATTGTTGAAGATCATGTTAGTTGCACAAATAACCCATTGCTAAATATGTCTATCAGCCATCGTGCGTCGTCCGTCCTCCTTCAGTAACTGTTTTGAACGTTTTCAGAAACAACTGAAAATTTTCAACCAATTTTGTAATGGATGAAAAGAAAAACAATAAAATTGTTTTCAAGATTATAATGAGCAATGAATGAATTAACAAAAATCTGAAAATCATAACCTTTGTGAAGAAAAAAAGTGAAGATAAAGAACAATCATCAATCTTATAAATCCAATAAACAAAACAAACCGTGAACATGAAGGACAAAAAACACGGCCCGAAGGAAACACCAGAGGCTGGATCAGGTGCCCAGGAGGAGTAAACATCTCCTTTTGACCGGTTACACCCGCCTTGATCCCTATGTATTTATCAGGTAAAGGGAGGAGTCAAATTTAGTATAAAAGCAATAACCTAACAAATGGTATGAAATATGTCAGACAAAATAAGACCAAATGATATATGTAGGTTGTATTAACAAATAACGACTAATTAGTTACTGAAAATACATAAAAGGTCGTGCTTACTGTTGGATATTTAGGTAGCTGACAAATTTACTTTATTTCTTTTGAAGATTCGGGGGCATATAGTTTTTGCCCTGTCCGTCCGTCCGTCTGTCTGTCATAACTTTTGGTTGGTTGGTTGCTTTGGCTTTCATATTTCAGATGTATATTCCTTGTGACAAGATCTTTCTTTGAGTACCATCATATTTGACCTTGACCTTGAAGTTTGACCCAGTTTTACAAACTTTTACCCAACTTTAATCTTGTCCATAACTTAAAAACAGTTGGTGCTAGGGCTTTCATACTTCACATGTTTAATTTTTGTGACGAGTCCTTTCTTTGGATACCAACAACGTTGACACTCTGACCTAGAACAGTTGGTGCTAGGGCTTTCATACTTCATATGTTAATTTTTTGAGACAAGACCTTTCTTCGGATACCAACAATTATAGCCTATTGACCTTGACCTTGGAGTTCGACTTACTTTTGGAAAAACTTAAACTTTTCATATTTCACATGTGTATTTCCCGTGAGAAGGCCTTTCCTTGGGCACAATTAATTTGATTATTTAACCTTGACCTTGATGTTTGACTTACTTTTGAAAAACTTTAACCTTTTCCATATCTTTTCAATGGTTGCAGCTATGGCTTTCATATTTCACAGATATATTCCTTGAGACAAGGCCTTACTTTGGGTAACAACTTACTTGATTTGCATTTGAGAAAGTTTAACTAACACTTTAAGTTGCCATACGGAGGCATCAATGTTTCACAAACACATCTTGTTTTTTATGCCCTCGTAATTGAGGACTCGGGGGTATATGGTTTTTGTCCTGTCCGTTCGTCTGTCTGTTTGTCCGCAAAAACTTTAACATTGCCCATAACTTTTGGTTGTTTGGAGCTATGGCTTTCATATTTCACATGTGTATTCCTAGTGACAAGAACTTCCGTTGGGTACCAACATATTTGACCTCTTGACCTTGGAGTTTGACTAACTTTGCAAAAATTTACCCAACTTTAACCTTGGCCATAACTTTTGAACAGTTGGTGCTATGGCTTTCATATTTCACATGTGTATTTATCGTGAAAAGACATTTCCAAGGGTGTAATAAACTTTGACCTTGACCTTAAAGTTTGACCTACTTTTGAAAAAGTTAACCTTGGCCATAACTTTTGAACAGTTGGTGCTAGGGCTTTTATATTTTGTATGTGTATTTCTTACGACAAGGTTTTCTGATGAGTACCATTAATTTTACCCTTTGATCTTGGAGTTTGACCCACTTTGAGGAAACATTAACCTTGACCATAACTTTTGAATGGTTGGAGCTATGGATTTCATATTTTACATGTGTATTCCTTGTGACAAGACCTTCCTTTGGGTATATTTGACCTCTTGACATTGACCTTAGAGTTTGACCCACTTTTGTCAAAAAAAAAGATTCTACTTTTACCTTGGCCTTTCGAACAATAGGTGCTAGGGCTTTTATATATAACATGTGTATTTATCCTGACAAGACCTTTCCATGGGTATAAATATTATTGACCTTGACTTAAGAGATTGACCCACTTAAAAAAAACTTTATCCTTGGCCATAACAGTTAGTACTAGTCTATTGCTTTCAAATTTCGCAGCTATATTCCTTGTGACAAGCCTTCCTTTCGATACCAACAATTTTGACCTTGGAGTTTGACCTACTTTTGAAAACTTTAACCTTGGACATAACTTTTGAACAGTTGGTAATAGGGCTTTCATTTTTTGCATGTATATTTCTTATAATGACAAGGCCCTCAAATGCATACCATTAATTTGGACCCTTTGACCTTGAGTTAAAGTTTGATCCACTTTTAAAAAACATTAACCTTGACCATAACTGGTTCTTGGGCTGTCATATTTACCAGTTATATCCATTGACACAAATCCTTTCTTTGGGTACCGACATTTTTTATCTCTTGACCTTGGAATTTGAATTGCATTTTAGAAACTTTAACCTTTGCCATAACCTGCCATACGGGGGTATCATTGTTTCACAAACACATCTCGTTAATTCTATAATTCTATAATTACCAGAATTATTCTTAATCTTGGTTAAGAAGAAAAAAGTAAATCGGTATGCAAAGTATTTTTCTTTATTGAAATACACGCAAATTAAAAACATTCCTTTCTGACATTTATATATAAATGTACAATATAATGTTCTATTTCCTGACAGTATTCTCGTGATTGGACACTGTTATGCTGTGTTTATTCTCTAGGGGGAAATATATTCCTTTCAATGTGCATTTCATAAAACTTACATTTCCGAGAAAAAGCTCTAACCATTTTCCACAAAGAAGATTTTATCAGATTAGACCCTGTTTTTATTTTTTTTTTTTCAGAATGAACGAAGCCGTAAAATTGAATGTCCTTTAATGTCTTTCGCTTCTATAATGGAATTATTTGCCAATCTCTATAGATTGGTATTTATTTTGGGATAAATACCAAGGCTTCTAGGAAACCCTGAATGACAGAATAAACATTTAGGACGAAGCTAATATATGTACAAACCTGTTTTCCTGATCAAACCTCAGGAGGAAAAAAGATAGATCGATATGTGGTCAAAAATGATAAGTGAACCACCCTTTATACAAAATCATGCCCATTTCCCATATTTTTATTTTCGTTTAGATCTGAATAAAAAAAGAACATAGTTATATTGTTGCAATATGACACATCACAATATGTAATACCTATAGTATATAAGCATTTAAATAGACTCGTATAGAATACAATACACGACAGTAGATATCACTCGTAGTCTTTTTTAAACATTAGGCTTTCATTAAACCTCTATTTATAACGTTAGAAAACGAATTGGTAGTTTGAGATTTTGACCAAACAAAAATTAGCCAAAATTTAATGATTTCTGTCGTTTGAAAGATACATTTTTGGTTGTGATCAGGATGAAAATACCAATGTTATGTGATATAATAGCAGCTTTTTAAATTAAGTTTGAAATTTGATCAAATTAATTTTGTTTGTTCTTTTTCTTTTTTTTTGTTTTTGTTTCAAAGTTTCTGAAGACCCAGCAATTTCCAATTTGAAGTTGGACCTGATTGAGCCCTTGAAATTCTCTTCTGACAGGAATCTTCAGAGAAGCAAGGGATCTATAAACCCTTTATACACTCACACTGGTTCTTTGATCGGCGGAATCACTCAGAACAATCGATGTGGGATTAAATATAGTTTGTCTGAAAGGATTACCAACATGATTTCGCATCAAGGTGCATCGTACAGTAAGAGACTATTAGTGTTGATTATGTCTATGAGTTCATTTTTGTTGGGGGGGGGGGGGGGGTTAAACAAATGAAATTATAACATTTAATTGACAAACTGAATATCAAACCTAAAAATTTCCTAACACACGGCCTTATTTCAAAGAAAAACAAGAGCTTTTGAAAGCGGGGTAAATCATCCTTTTATTTTAGTATTTGATTTTATTCAAATTATAACACATAAACAAGCTTTGTGATCATTACCTGTGCAAATTGTACTTTTACATAAATACAGAGACAGTGAGTTTAGTGGACACTGGAAATCGCTCTCAAGATGAAAACACAGTTCAGACATCTGAGCTCACACCCATAGTTCAAGTTAAAAATGACGATCCAGACATCGCATCGAAGGCTGTGTCAGAAAGATTACATGACGAGTTAAAGTAAGTTGAAAGCATTTACATGTATCTATGTCTATGTAAAGCCGTCAAATTTTTATGTCAAGTAATTCTAAAAGAGGTGTTGATAATTACATAAGCTAGGGTATAGCATGGCAGGGCAGGTGCGGATCCAGAAAATTTCTTGACCAGCCAAAAAAATAAACAAATAAACTTAACGTAGAGTCCTTTCCCAACCGTGAAAAACCTATTTTTCGTGGTGGTGGGGTCCACGTTTTTGGGGGTGGGGTTCCAAAGTCATTTTTATTTGCTTCAGTAAATGCATTTAATAAATCTGCAGATTCCAGGGGAGTCCGGAACCCCACCGCATCCCGACCCCCTGTAGATCCGCGCATGCAGGGTAGGGGCTGTCCTCCCTTCGCACTTTTTCTAAAGATAACCTTTTACTGTTGAAAATGTTCACTGAAAGGCTGTTTGTCCCCCTCCAACTTTGTTTCAGTGTAGTGGAATAACTAATATGGTAATGTATTAATGAAATTTGGTTGTGAAAAAAGTTGGAACCCCCCACCCCCGCTCCACCACGAAATAGAATTGTTGGCTCTGGCACAGTTTCTCTTTTTTTTTTGTTTATTTGCTTGTCAGTGGTTTTTTCAGTAGATAATTTTTTCTGGTTGCCCCCTCCCCTTTCAAAAACCATATTATGTGCCTGTTTGTCTGAAAAATATATGTACAATCCCCTGATAAGATTTATTTCTAATACATTGTGTATTGTACTGTATACTCCTGGGTTATAATGGTTGTTTGATTAATTAAGTAGATTATTTTACAGGATTTTCAACGATCTCATTTAAGAAGAGTATTTCGCACAATACTATGGTGGTTATAATGACCTTATTTGCAAAAATGGCCTTCTTTTTGGTCGTATTTTTACTGACCTGATTCCCACCAGTTATTAAGAGGAAGCTGGAGTTTCTTATTTGAAAATATCGATGTAGTCTTAGGAGACCAGGTCATCCAACAATCAGTTCAAATCCTTATGGGCACTTATTGTGCCCTTTTATTACCCGATCTGTTTTTATATTCTTGTGAAGCAGTATTTATTCAAAGACTTCTACATGAGAAGAAAACTCCTTTTGTGGTCTTTACATTTAGATAATTATATCGCCAACGTTTTATCAGTTAGCAATAGCATTTTTAGCTCTACTGGTCAGAGACCAGAAGAGCTTATGCGATAGTAAGGTGTCCGTCGTCCGTCTGTCTAGCTGTCTGTCTGTCTGTAAACAATTTTTTCAAAACGCTACTCCTCCTACAGTTTTGGTCTGATTTCAATACAACTTGGCAGACAAGTAGACTACACTAAGATATATGATTTATTGCATCGATTTTTGATTTCGATGAACCGTGTTGCCATGGTTACTAAAAATAGAAATATCTGTGAAATTCCTTTAAAACGCTACTCCTCCTACAGTTTTGGTCTGATTTCAATATAACTTTGCACACAAGTAGACTACACTAAGATACATAATTTATTGCATCAGTTTTTGAATTTGATGACCGTTGTTGCCATCGTTACTAAAAATAGAATTATCTGTGAAATTCCTTTAAAACGCTACTCTTCCTACAGTTTTGGTCTGATTTCAATATAACTTGGCACACAAGTAGACTACACTTAGATACATAATTTAGTGCATCGGTTTTTGATTTTGATGAACGTTGTTGCCATGGTTACTATAAATAGAAATTTCTGTGAAATTCCTTTAAAACACTACTCCTCCTGCAGTTTTTGTTTGATTTCAATACAACTTGGCACTCAAATAGACTACATTAAGATAAATCTATTTATTGCTGCATGTTGCAAAGTTTCAAATCCAAGTGCTACTTTTTCTTTGTTACATGTATATGTACAGACCAGTAGAGCTACAGTCTCATCAGAGACTTCTGGTTCATTCATATGTCGACTCGATATATAGCCCCATGAACTCCAAACAAAAGACATCACCTGGTCTACCACATCTCTTTTATACTTAGGCTTTTTACTGAATACATGTATATACATTAATGACCAATTATCAACTAGACTATTTGACAAACGGGACGACTTCAGCTTTATCATTGCCAGTTTCCCTTATTTATGTTTAAAACATTCTGATTCTATACACAAGTACTCCGAAATTAATAGTAAAAAGATGTTTGAGTTTCTCATTGACAAAACCTGTATAGTTTTCGAAGTCCAGTTGGAATATCAATGTGTCCTTATTGCACCCCTTATTAGCAGACCTGTTTTTGTATTCATATGATGAGTTTGATTGTTAACCTTTGCATGGGGGGTGGGGTGGGGGTCTTGCTGTGGCCTTCAATTCGACATTTGGATATACCGACGACGTTTTATTCCATTGATAGTGTTCAGTTTCATTCCTGTGTCAATTCTGTGTGTCCCACTAGGCTCGAGGTGAAAGACACCACAAAGTCTGAAAAATCTGTTTCATATTTGGATGTTTTACTAGAGAAAGACATTAATAGCAAATTGACAACTAAACTTTGTGATAAACGTGATTACTCAACTTTCCTTATTTATGTTCCAATATATCATAATCATCTGCATATGGAGTTGATGTCTCCCAGTTGATTCGAAGCGCAAGAGCATGTTCAACGTAGGAACAATTTTTAAAACGATGCAGGCTATTGACAACTAAGTTGATGATACAAGGATTTCAGAAATATCGTTTAAAGCCAACATTTTGCAAATTCTGTGGTCTATTTCGATTACAAAAAAATGAGTATTTGAAGGGGATCAGGACTGCTTGACAGAAGGTGAAGCATTTCTGTAAACCTTTGTGTCTACAAAACGATGAACTCAAATGAGTTTTCTTCTTGGTGTTTGAGATTTTAAGTTGAATGACTTTTGTAACATTCACACATTTATGAACTTTCACCGAGAAACACGCAAGGTTGCTTATCTCAACCACCGCTATTTAAATCGGTCATTAACTTGAAATGTTTTGTTTATTTCATATTAAGCGTATAAATTTCTATTTGTTTCAAGGATCACTAATGGAGTGTTGACACCTACGAGCTTTTACTTTGATATGGGCATACTCTGTGATATTTTGTATACATTCTTCTGTCTATATTTTCATGTTCCAGAAGTAGTGGAGGGACTTTTCTCTCTCTCTCTGAACCAATATATCCCTTCACTTAAGATATATTCAGACATTTCATATCTCTTACAAAAGATCTTTAATAAATTGGTGGGAAATGTATTTTAAATTCTAAACTTTTCAGATTTCTGTTGACTTTTATAGGGAACAAGCATACTTTAAAAAGAATTTTTTACCATTATTATTCATTTGTTATTTGATGTCTAGGCTATGTAAAATTTTGAAAATACAATATATTTTAATAACGATAAACTATAACAGTTTCTTTTTTATGTTTGAATTAAACAATAAAATACTTTCTTTGGTTATTAGTAGGGGAATTAATGTTGATGCTGTTGTATTTAACCCATGTAAGCAGATAATGTATAATTTTCTGCAATTGCTGCTACGTTTATTCCCATATTAATAAACAAAGAAAGACATTTTATTGTTAATATTTATGTATGTATAAACAATCATATGAAGTATAAAACAAGTACCTTAAATATTGTAATATTGATATATACATCATAACATTGTATATTTCATTGATGGAAGAGCCACTGCTGAAGAGGTTTGTAGCAGCATTAAAGTATTTATTAACGACCATGGTTTTTATAAGATATCAAAGGGGTATTATTAAAAAACATATAAGAATGTCAAAAATTGAAGATAGTCAGGAATGGAACAACTCTGCTTAAGACAACTCTGCTATTAATGTCCTGTTGTAATGGTAATCTTTACAGTTCATGGAACAGATTATTACGAACCCTATTTCTGTATGAAGTTATTACAAGAACTCAACAAAGAGAGGTACATTTTATGCTCTGTTCATCCGTCAAACTACAATACTTTAAATTAAGCTGAATGATGACCTCCAAGAATGATAAGAATAACAAGTAGAAAATCTACTCTTGCAAGCAATAACTTATGTCACCCCGAACTAAACCATAAGCTTTAAGAATGCTCAATCTTAAAGAAATGGGTATTCGTAGACCCCCCCCCCCCCCCAACACACACACACTTTCACACACAAACGAAACAAGTTACGGTTGCTAGGTTTGGTCGAACCAAAGTTACGGAAAGTGAAAGTAGAGCTTGCGAAGTCGTTTAAGGTTCACGGTCAAAACATGGCTGAAGCAAAATTATTCCTGAATTTTCCTCTTCAATTCGGACACTTCTGCACTGGACAGGGGCTGATTTTTTATGAGATGACAAACTATGTGAAAGCTTTCTTAGTTTAGCAGAATCATGAACATTTCCGGGGTGCTGATTGTTTTGTGTATAGTAGTGATGAGACCTTTACCCACCTGCAGGAGCGGGTCCAAGGATTTTCAATTAATAAAAATGACGGAAATTAAGTTTCAATAATTCTAAATATCATTGAATGAAATTATTCACATGCAAGTAATACTTTCATAAGAAAACTCAAAATGCTAATGAATTCAGCTGGCAATCGCTACTTAAAAAATATACATGTATTACAAATTCTATAGGAAAACCGAAGAAGAATGATTGCTGGTAAAATATCAGATCACATCAGCAGCACTGAATTTTATTCACGAAACCCTTAAGATCTTTCCTATCAATTATACCTGCATTTTTTACCTCGCTGTTTCGAAAGGGGGGGGGGTATTGAAAATTCACATGTAAATTAACCACCATTTTGTAGTGAGTGTGAAGCCTTAGCATTTTGAAAACTTTATGACGAAGGGTTGTTTGTAATATGAAGGTCAGGGCCATTTTATTCAGAATCCAAGACATTAAACAAAACTTGCTTTGTTAACAATTGGAGAAAAATGACAGAGAGGAAAAGGGGGGGGGGGTTGTTAAAATACTAAATATGTCCTTGTCTTCTTTATTTGAAAAGAGGTAAATAAAAATACGCCCACAAGATATATACCACATACAATCCTTTTTATTTAATAGAAACTCATTGCTTGGACAATACGAAAGTTTTCCGTGTCTTCTCTATCACCAGAAAAGTCGTACCTCTGCACTTCCTACCATGTATATTACTCCAGTAGAGTCCCCGTGAACTACATATATGAAAATAAAATGAATAGTTTGTAGTGTTAAAGGAAACGTTGGTCCTACGTTTTTTTGGAAAATGCTAAGATATTTACTTTCTTCTTAATCATATCAAGAAACTGGTAATTTATAAAAGCTTCATAGACGAACCCTTATGTATCCCAGGATTAATACGGAAAAAGAAAGTAGGAAGACAAAGAAATTGAATAAATCACAATTTTAAAAAGATGAAATATAAACGTAAATTACACAACGTTTTTTTGGCCACTCGTTTCAGGAAACTGCACTTAAATTATTTTTTCCATTCAAATGGCAACGTTGGAGAAAATTTTAAAAGAGATTTGCAAAACCACGAATAGTGATTATTATTTCTGTGGAAGGTTTCAATAATATTGTCGAAGCCTTTTACGAGAACATTCAAGGACAAACATCGCGAAATAGATGACTCGACTGCAGCTTTTTTTTTTAAATTAATCGTTCTTTTTGTTCATTCTGTTCCTTTATTTTGCAGGAATCGCTTTGATAGGATGCGACTAACAACTCATTAAAGTTTCAAAACAGATTTTATGAAAAATTACAGAAAAAAAAACAAAATTTAAAAAATATGACTATTTGTCTGTTGCCATGGCAACAGTGACAAATCTGAAAATTTTAAAAGGTTTTAGCAGAACTATAGTTGGTGATTATCATCTCTATAAAGTTTCAGTAAGTTTGTCCAGGTCCTTTTCAAGAAACTTGCAGGACAGGACTCACTAGCAATTTAACACAAAATTGGTCACGTGACATCAACTTTTCTTCAATAACTCGTATTTTCCGTCCATCCTTTCCAATTTGTTTGCCTAAATCTTTTTGACAGGAGGCAAGGAACACTTCTGTAAAGTTTCAGAAAGAGTTAATTAAAAGCAGCCGAGAAATGTGAAATTTAAAAAATACAATTTTTTATCAGTTTCCATGGGAACGGTTGCCATTTTGAAAATTTTGAAGAAAGATTACACATCTTTAGTTAGTGATCATTATGACAGTGGAGTTTCATAAAGATTGACAGAGGCAACTTCGAGATATTGTGCGGTACGCGTTATTGGTCGAACAATAGCAATATGTCTCCCCGACTTTGTCCGGGGTGACATAATAAGACATCAAAGTTCAATTATACAATAAAGTACTTGTGATAATGAGGTTCAACACTGAAAAGATGGACAAACATGTATCAGTGGATTTAGACACCTCACTCCAAGTTATTTGCATATATTGTGTATAAGGTTCTATATTTAAAATAAACATCATAGTAACTGTTACGGATCGAATAGATAATATAGTTTTGTCAGAAACGTGTAAAGAGTAAATTATCAGAATTGAATTTAATATCAATTGACAGAAATATCTTTGATTTTCAAAAGTTTCTTAAAATTTCACACAATGTTTTGCAAAAACACAACTATCGTCTTTCATAATATCTTGAAGTTGTGCTTTAATGAAAGAATATTTTATGAGCTATTAAGTACTATGATTTCACAAGTCGAGAGAAATCGTGTTAGAATATACTCAACTTTGTTCGAATGCAATACTAGTCAATAGGATAATACGATACTTTTAAGAATATTATCAATTATAACGTCTTTACTGCTTATTTGAATATTAAGAAATCTGAAATTTCTGGCCATTTTGGTTGGTTTCTTGTTTGGTTGTTTGCTTTACGTCCCTTCAAGAATATTTCACTCATATTGGGATGCCAACACGTGTCGTAGGAAGGCAGCATATTCAAACCTGTACTCGGCACTTATGATCATTGAATAATATCCTCTGTGACACGGGGCATGTTTATAGGGTCTCGTCTCATTCGAAAAACCAGCGCTAGCGAGACTCTAATCTGTGAGGTCTCCGTACTCGGCGACTCTAGAATAATGCGGCCTTAGCTAACAAATTCTTTGGAAGACAATGGATCAAATTTTTAATACGACAGCTTTGTGTCGGTAATTGCCTATTTCGTCAATCCCCTGGGTTTTCTGCTGTTGATCTTGGTAGCCTCGGTGCAGGTCAAGTATCGGTCATCTCACATGAAAAGTAAATCATGCCATTAAACTAGAAGAAAGATTATTATTATACTTCATCTAAACAAATTCTTTAATAAATGTCATGTAAAAAAGAAAATACAGATGTATATATAGATACAAAATTTATTTAACGTAAGAATTCTGTTTTTTTCCAGTTATAATTGATATTTGAGTTTCTTTTAGAACAGATTGACATGCAGTTATTTATTTATTTACAGGTATATTATTGTTTGATTTGCTACAGTCATGTTTTATATATGTCCTCTTTCCCGGACAACAAGCTGTTATGTCACTTTTATAGATTCAGTTTAGTAGGTGTTTCATTTTCAATTACAAATGTCACAGAATTGTTAAACCTTTCAGAAACAGCCTCACGACCATACTGAGCGCTTTGTATGCCACCATCATTGTTGTAATTGGCTCTGTGCTCTCAATGACAGAATCTTTCCTGAACTCACAAAGACCTTTATCTTTTGAGGTATTAACTTTGTATTTAACTGTATAGTGAATGGTTTCTAAGTCTGTCACGACACAAATTCGAATATTTGCATAATCTTGTCGAAATGTATATCAGATATGGGGGAATATATAACAACATATCAGTGAGGGGCCGTTTTTGGTATTTACTGCCATTAATTAAGTGATATCACCCATTCGAATTGGTGACATGGATGATACATGTATCACTAAACGGCAATAAATACCAAAACGGTGCCTCATACATTTCACAATTACAAAAGTAGGATTATTTTACTACATGAAAACGAAATGTGTCGATCAGTGACAATTAGACAGGAATTACAGAAAATCATAATATGTACCAGCATGCTCTTCGTACTATGGATACTCCTTATTAGTAAATTGAGTCACTTTTGTTTTCATTTTTCAAATTGGTATATATATAATTTTTTAACAGAAAAAAATATTCCGAATACACATTACAGACATTACACATGTTCAAGTACACCATTAGAATAATAGAAAAAATGACACGGAAAATTGCTGTTTTATCTAATTGTTGTAAATAAATACCATTCTTTTGCAGCTTTTTTACATATTCATTTATTCCGGAGGCATAGGTTTCCTGCTGTTTATTTATGTATTCCTTCTTCGAAAAGAATCTGGAGAAAATTTTAAATATAAAGTGCGCAAACTCAGTTTCCATGGGAATAGGCCTACGTTCCGGCGTGTGGTGTCCTTTTCCAACATGAATCACACGGGAGGATTCTATCTTCGACTTGGAGCAATAGGTACAACTGTAGCAAGCTAACAAATTTTTATATGCATTTGGTTTGATATTCTTTAAAGTGATTTAAATTGACACTGAAGCGTGAAAGATCTGAAATTCCAAATCCCATTCACGGCTGAATAGACTAATAGATATTTTCAAATATGAAAGAATTTAAAGAAAAATAGTGTATTTAGAAAACATTGCTTATCCGTCAATTTAATATCTTCATACATTCATGCAAATAACATTTGATAATTGATTAAAGAACCTTGAAGACTCAACTTCTGTGTTATTATCTCGATCGTCTTAACATGTTGAATCACAATTTATAGTCATCGCACATATTCTGCAACAAACGATATTGCTAGTATATGCAATGAAATATGGAGATAACGAACAGTATTCAATCTCAAAGTCCATTAAAACAATACAAATCGGGAGCAGAGCAAACACGGACTCCAAAAAACAGAGGTGGGATCAGGTGCCATGGAGGAGTGAGCATCCCTGCCGACCGGTCACACCCGCCGTGTGCTCCTTGTCATGATCGGTAAATAACGGAAAAATCCGTCGACAATTCATAATGGCCTAACAATCAGTATGAAAAGGTAAATTAAGATCTAAAGAACATTATCACTATACTGCACACACACACACACACACACACACACACACACACACATATATATATATATATATTAACCTCAGTAATGAAAAAAAAACTTAAATTGTAAAAGTGAATGTTAAAAAATGTTTGAAGAGGAAAATAAGAAAATTGTGTATTTTTAAAGAATGTCACTGTTAAACACTTTTGAACACAGACTGAAGTACAATGTACCTTTTATGATTTGAAGGTTTTGGTATTGGTGGTATGATTCTAGATGGACTCTACATTGCCGAGGAGTTTGAAGATTATGGTAACCCTCAATCATGTCACCAAGGTGTCACCGTGGTAACATACATCATAAAGATGGTGTTCGCCTTTTCACAGCTCTATTTTGTGTTTAATAATGCAGAAGTAAGATTTCACTGTGATTTCTATAATATCAGAGACACCAGAAAAAAAAATGTTACTAATATTCAGGGGCAATAATCTCGGGGGCTTGTATCTTTAAGTGACTAAGCATGAATTATATATGCTGCAGCTCCATTTCCTTGATGGTGACGCGATACGGAACACAGTGTATATGCTTGCCGCAGGATAACAATCAGTTCCAAAAAGACTTCCATGTACTTTAATTTACATAACGGATTCGAGAACAAAAAAACGCAGATTAATTCTTGTTTACGAAACTTCAGAATTTCCAATACGTTCTACATCCTTTTGGCGAAGGACATTTACTCTATCCTTAATCTACAATGTAATTGCCATTCAATCAACTTTCGAGACGTTTATGATTTATTGAAATTGACCATCAATTTGCCGTTTTTAGAAATAAACTTAGGAGTGATTAGGTGTGATTTATCAATTTGTTGCGAAGATTAAAAAAGACATAGTGCATTAGTAATCTCGGCGCTGGCTAGCAGAGTGTGCAGATAGGAAAAACGATGCCTCTCGCCCCGGTGAATTTTCCGGAGCACCTAAGATTTGATTTGTTTGTTAACATAGGATGCAAATGCTCGTGTTTATTGTACCTAAAGTGATATTATAGTGATAAGTGCAATTCTTTTTATAAATTCTCTCATTTACCCATTGGCAACCTATCTAGAAATTAGTATTGAATCTGTTACCATCTATAGTACTCAGCTGCAGATATTAAGGACCCTCTACAAAACAGTGTATTTTTTTGGACATCGAGAACATTTTATTGTATAAAGATGTAAATATTGAGTCTATCTATTTAATTTTCAGTACATGGTACGTGGCATTTATATCCAGGAAAAATGTTCAAAGACAACAAAGTATCACTGTTGTTTACTTCAGTCAAAGTTCAGTGGATAAAATACAAGCAAATAAAATGTTCAATTAATTTATCTTGGCCTTTTTAAAAGAATTGATTACAGATTAAGAAACACTGTAGATTTCAATATATTTGAATTTAGATTTAAGGACAGATCACTCTAACTGTAGAAAAATACCACAGAATCAGAACTCTTTAGTGTGCAGTGCAGGGGTGAGGGGTGGGTCTTAATTTATTCAATCGTTTTTAATGGAATTCCTGTATATAATTTCTTTATTTTAAGTATACAATGAAAAAGGTTTGTATTAAATATTTAGCAATAATTTGGTGTGCATGACTTCGATATTCATTTCATAGGGAGAGTTGCAATATGACATTCAAAACATATGCAGGATAATATTTTGCATTTGTACACTTTCTTTTACAAGTATGCGGGTTTTTTAAATTTATTTATCAAGCATAAAAATTGTCGAAGAGTCTGGCTATTCTAAACAAGAATAAAAAAGAGATTACAAAAACAGTAAGAAGGGAAAAATGATTTTTAGATGTTAACATACTGCAGTCACTATCAGCGTTTCCAAATCATGTTAATGTGTGTAAAATGACATCTAATTATCACTTGAGGGGAATGAATCACCGGGGGAAATGACATCAATAAGTTCCTTTATAAGGGTTTTATTTATCAGCCTTATAGGACATCGATGTATATTCCTATAGGAAATTCCATTTTAATGACCCTGATAATCCGAGAACATCTCTCTCAATCAACAAAATAAGTCTTCAATGATTCAGCATTAGTTTTGGCTTTTAAGATCGTGAATAAATCGTCCTTAATTTGTTTTAGAGAAGCTAAGAAGAGAGCATGGAATATGTTGAATTTTAAAAAAAACATATTAAGGTCATTTATACAAAACATGCAAGACACCCAGCTAAAGGATTCCTACGAGAATATTAATGTTAAAGGAACCATGTGCTTTGTTTGGTCATAAAATGGCTCAGATTTAACGGTTAATCCATTAAACCAGCTCATCAGATATCATGAATCTGGTATACTTGTTCCAAAGAGTAAAGTGACAAATTAGAGTCCAGACAGGCTTAATTTTGATTAAGCATTGCTCATATGGATAAAGATATGATATGGAATGCTTGAGCGTATTTAGCATGTTTAGAGCCTGGTTAAAAAAATTAATATTCATGTTGATTGTTTAGAAAAATAACGTTAAAAGTATCTTTTGCAAAATCAGAACCTGGTCCGAGATTTTTTTTTATTTGATAGATGAGAATGCTGGCACATCAGAGTTTGGCTAAGTTTGGCTTGATGCACATGACAGCTACTAACATTTGTGAGTGGTATAGAACAGTGGTGGTGGAAACTTTAGAAACCTTGACCAAAGATGTGGCTGATCATCAACCTGACCAACAGACCGCTAAAAACACCACGGAGGGCATCGAATACGGTTAGTGTTACATGTAAGGATACATGCTACAAACTTAAAAAAAGGGTACATATCTTTTAGCTTATTTTGATTGTAAATGATACATACTTGTAAATTAAATCTCTAAAATATCAAGAAATGATTATCATAGACTTTCGATGATGTTCAAATTTCTTACTTTTTGACATAACCCTGATAAATCTTACATTTTTTTTATCACCTTATAGGACATTATTGAGAAACTTCGAATGAAGAAATAAACTTTACACGGTTAAATCTATTCGTTTTGCTTATAATAACATAGATTTGGTTTTGTGTATAAGAATTGTAGGTCGTTTGGAGGAAAACATTTACGAGTTGGCCACATGAATGATTGCATTTCGTACTAAAAGATAGTACATGTATGAGTTACTCTTATTGTATGTACATATATGCCTAAGCTCAAACAATTCTGTCGAACTTCAATTACAGTCAAACTTACAATTGAGAACTAAGAAAATGCATGTGTTGTACACGAAATTAAATCTTGCAAAATAAGAGCATATTTGAAGAGATCGGGGGCTTTCAAAATAACAAACACACCTTACATTCAGCAACAGTAAGCATCTATAGGAGCTGTTAAAAGTCAAATTAATGGACTTGTGTAATTTTTTATTTTTTCCTATGATTAAGATTTTATCTCAAGATATTATAGTAATCAGAGCCGTCAGAAGAGGATGCTGTGACTCATCAACATAATCATTAAAGTCATCCAACCATTTAATATGTTCCAAGACGAGGATAGTCCCTTGAAGGCTATAATTTTATCGTTTTCACCTAAAATGACTTCGATTTTTATATTCATAAATCAATTTCACTGTCGTCTTAAAGTGAACATGAATTGCTGAACAGCAAGGAATAAAAGCAACGGTCTGGAGCGTAAAGCTGTGCTACCAAATCCATTTTATTTCTCGCTGATTGAATGAGCTTTTAGTCACAATCCATTATTTGAATCTTCTAGACTACATCTTTCAGATAACATAAATTGATATACATGTATTTCATTTCGCAATGTCTGCTTCTTTTGAATAGACGATCTCTATAATATATATTCTTGGTTGCTACTCTCGTCAAAGGACTTGATAAAAATAAAGATTCCAAAACCTCACGTTTCTGTATTGGTTAAAATGAAAGAGAGGAGAAAATTCAAAGAGTGTTTACACTGCAGACGACAAACCTCTGAATTAATCTTTGCATTTTGAATGATACAATTTGCACCGAGTTTTCTTTTCTGATGTAGCCTTTTTCTGGTTATGGAGAAAGCCATTGAACTTTTATTTGTTTTCCATCGTCAATTTATCATGTTTGCTTTAATTATTATTTTCTTTTAAATTAATTTTTTAATAACAAATTATCATATAGAAGAAGTCATTTTAAGACAATTAAATAATTGATAATCAATAATCTTCCTAATCTAAACTACATGTAATTAACAAAGTTTTTAAAGTCGTAATGTATGTTTTTCTTCATTCTCGTGATAGCAGTGTAACACATGAATAAGGAAAGCACTAATGAGTCAACTAACCTGAATGGAGAAATATATCATATTTCTCATTTAGAGACGACTTTAAAGGAATTTACATATTTCTGTTTATTATGTCTTGGATTTCAATGGGAGATATACATTGTACAATGTATCTAGAGGTCTTTCCTTTCATATCGATTCTTGTAGAAGGAAGTATTCATTTAATTGGCACTGACAGTATGTTGTTAAACGTCCATTTATCTGAAATGGTATCTTTTGGTTTATAGGTTTACTTTTAACCAATAAAAGTGGACAAGTGGAGTGTATGCTGAGTCATCTCATTGGAAGCATCATCAAGGACACCAGCCCTTATCTTTACCCATTTAAAATTGAATATAACCTCATCTGTGCAGGTATTTGAGCTCACTTGTGCCGAACGCTCAAGTGAGCTTTTCTGATCGAAAATTGTCCGTTGTCTGTCGCTGTTGTCGTCGTAAACTTTACACACATTTGTAATATTCTCTAGAATCGCTGGGCCAATTTCAACCAATCTTGGCTCAGAGCATCCTTGGGTAAAGGGGATGAAGATTTGCTTATATAAAGGACCACGGCCTCTTTAACGGGGAGATAATCAAGAAAAGCCAAAATTATGATGGTTATAAAAAAACTGTTTCTTAAGAAAAATGAAACAAATGTTAAAGCTCCCTAATATAGTGCAAATTTAAATTTGTTCAAATCATGGTCCCCGGGGTAGAGTGGAGCCCCAGTACAGGGATCAAAATTTTACATGGGAATATATAGAAACAGCAGGATCATGATTAGTAATATTAATGTACAAGCATCCTCAGGAGGTGCAGATTCTAGTTCGTTCAAAACATGTCTCCAGACGATAGGGTGAGACCACAAAAGGGTATCAAAGTTTTACATGGGGAATGTATAGGGGAAAATCTCACAAAATCCTCCTTCACGAACAATTGCGTCGTGATTAATGAAATTAATATGCAAATATTGTTAGGTCGTGTAGATTGAAGTTTTTGACCTCTGATGGTAGGGTGGGGTCATAACAGAGAATTAAAGAAAAAAATCTTTTAAAATTATCTTTGTAAAGAACAACATGGTCACCATTAGTCATCATAATATGCAAGCATCTTCAGGTGCAGATTCAAATTTGTTCAAATCATGCCCCCAGGGCGGGGGGAGATAGCTAGGGTGGGGTCAATGTTCGGTAGAACAGCAGGACCAGTGTAACTCAGGTGAGCGTTGTGGTCCATGGGTCTCTTGTTTTAGGGTATTTATGTAGCAAAGAATTTGCTAAACCTAAACATTGTTCAAGTAAACTTTCATTAGTACATGAGTGAATTTCTTTATTTCTTAAATGATTACCTCATGTATAGACAATATTGTTTTTCATCTTTGAATTGTTCATTTTTGGAATGAAATGTTTCATTGTACCCCATTTGTTTTAGGTATATTATATGTTATGTGGCGCCACCTTGCTTACAACAGCGAGGTAAATCATATACCGGTACCTCTGGCTCGATTGGACAGTAATGGGGACAAAAGGAGGCGCCGCCTAACGGTGGACTGCTCCAGTTCTAGCAGGGGGCTGTTCCTAGGAATCCTAATATTCGTAACAGTGGTGATTTTATTAAAATCGTTTTACAGTTTGGTTAACGTTGATCCTAACAGTCTCAACGTCATATTTGTTGCACACTTCATGGAAATAGGGCTCTACTTTGTAGCGTTGATCAGTACGGTTGTTGCAGCTATTCGTATGAAAGATTTAAAATTTGATACCACTGAAAGAGCTAAATTGGAGGAAAACTTTATAGGTATTTCACAACTTGGTCTGCTGATGTATTGCGTTTTTAGTGTTGTAGCAGGTAGCAATGAATGCAACACAGCACGGGGAATATTAACCATTATCACAAACATTTTTATGATGTTACAAGCTTCTTTACAGACAATTTTCCTTTTTACTGCTATGCGAATGTCAGCACACCCACAACAAGTTAACAAACCTGGGAGAGAATTCGTGACGTTTCTGCTTTTGTGTAATTTTTGTATGTGGGTTGTGAATACATTTGAGACAATAAGACCGGAACACAACGCTGTGCAGATAAGTGTTTATGGCGAAGAGGCCTGGGCTATTTTTATCCATATTTCTATACCACTCGCTATATTTTACAGGTTCCATTCCACAGTGTGTTTATCGCAAATATGGAAATCTGCATGGAAAACCAAGGCAGAAGCTACTTAAACAGGAAATCCAGCGATAAAAATTTCTTGAACGGTTCCATTCTAACATTCAGTTGTCAAAATATAATAATTCTAGAACTTTTTTAATTAAAAAAAATTGCAGAACGAACATTATATCGTGGTGGTCAAATAGTGCAGTCTCTTCAACTGTGATTAAATCGTAAAAGTATATCCATTTTTGGATGTTTCGATGGGATATAAAATACCACAGCAGGCATAAATTTATACGAACAGGTGTAAGTCACACAATCAGTTTTACCACTAAAATGTTAACTTGCAATTTCAAAGATTTCTATGTGTTATTATTTGTTATAAGTATGATCTCATACCATATGATTTCGTCTTGTTTAATTTTTATACATGTTCCTTGCTATCCTTTTATGGTCTCCATTGGAAGTTTCACGCACATGACGTCACTGTACCATATTACTAACAAAGCAACAGAGTCGACGACGAACGGCTCATATTTGGCACATTAAAACACCCAGTGCTATAACATGGGCAGAGCAAATACAAATTGTGGGTGTTTAGGAAATATGAAGATAACGAACAGTATTCAATCTCGAAAGTCCAATGAAACGATACAAATTTGGAGCAGAGCAAACACGGACCTCAAAATTTAGAGGTGGGATCAGGTGCCATGGAGGAGTGAGCATCCCTGCCGACCGGTCACACCCGCCGTGTGCTCCTTGTCATGATCGGGGAAAAAACCCGAAAAAATCCGTAGACAGTGCAGTGTATAAGTAATGGCCTAACAATTAGTATGAAAAACGTCAGTCAGCATTTGATAGGTTGTATGTGCTGACAAGGTCATTGTATCGACCGTAAAACTTGCGAAAAGATGACTTGATATCCTTGTTTCATCAACTTGTTTGTCAATAGCTTGCCTCGTTTTAGAAATTGTTCATACGTAAAGCATGCTCTTGCGTATCAAATCAACTGAGAGGCATAAATCCCATATGCAGGCGATAAGGGTACATATGTATATTGCTACATAAGTAAGGGAAGACGATTTAAAAGTTGAAGTCATCACGTTTATCATAAAGCTTTGTTGTTAGGTTACCATTAACGTCTTTTTCTATTAAAATATCTAAATATGAACCAGATGTGTCAGAATCTGTGGTATCTTTCATTTCAAGCTAACTGGGATATATCGAGTTGACATATGAATGAAAGTAACTAAATGTATTGTTAATTGATAATACGTCGTCGATATATCGAAATGTCGAGTTGAAGGCCACAGCAAGTGTTTTCTGTATATGGTAGGGATATAAGCTTTGACTGGAATACTGAGTAGCTCGACCAAAATGTCGTTTTTTTTAATTGCTTTATATGTTTTTCCATTATGGATTGCACACCAATTACCAGTACACACTTCAAGTCCTCGTGACCTCGATATTGTTCAAATAAACTTGGTTCAGGGTGAAAAAGTGATTATTAGCTACCTTCATGAGTAGCGTAAGCTTATTTTGTCTTCCATTATAAAATCATTGTCCATTTCATATTTTTCTTATCTTGACCTCGACCAAATAAGTTACGCATGTTCGTATGTGGTCAAGTTTTCTTGTGAAGTACTAGTATGTGTTTCTATTTTTATGCCCCCGTAATCGAAGATTCGGGGGCATATAGTTTTTGCCCTGTCCGTCCGTCTGTCTGTCTGTTTGTCCGCAAAAACTTTAACCTTGCCCATAACTTTTAATTGGTTGGAGCTATGGATTTCATATTTCACATGTGTATTCCTTGTGACAAGACCTTTCTTTGGGTACCATCACATTTGACCTTTTGACCTTGGAGTTTGACCCACTTTTGCAAAATTTTTTGAGACTTTAAAATTGGCCATAACTTTTGAACACTTGAAGCCTGGGCTTTCAAACTTCACCAGTGTATTCCTTGTGAGAAGGCCTTCCTTTGGATACCAACATCTTTGACCCTTTGACCTTGAACTTGGAGTTTGACCTACTGTTGAAAAAACTTTAACCTTGGCCATAACTTTTAAATAGTTTAAGCTAGGTCTTTCATACTTTGCTCCTTGTACTCCTTGTGACAAGACCTTTCTTTGCATACCAACAACTTTGACCTTTTGACCTTGACCTTGGAGTTTGACCTACTTTTGAAAAACTTTAACCTCGGCCATAACTTTTGAACAGTAGGTGTTAGGGCTTTCATACTTCACTGTATTTCTTGTGACAAGACCTTCCTTTAGATACAAACAACGCTGACCCTTTGACCTTGACGTTTGACCTACTTTTGAAAAACTTTAACCTCGGCCATAACTTTTGAACAGTTGGTGTTAGGGCTTTCATACTTCACATATGTATTTCTTGTGACAAGACCTTCCTTTAGATACAAACAACGCTGACCCTTTGACCTTGACGTTTGATCTACTTTTGAAAAACTTTAACCTTGGCCATAACTTTTGAACAGTTGGTGTTAGGGCTTTCATACTTCATATAAATATTTCTTGTGACAAGACCTTTCTTTGGATACCAACAATTTTGGCATTGACCTTGACCTTGGAGTTTGACCTACTTTTAAAAATTTTTAACTTTGGCCATTATGGATAACATTTGAACGTTTGGTTCAAAGGCTTTCACATTTCACGATCATGTGTATCACTTGTGACAAGAACTTCCCTTGGGCACCATTTGACCTTCACCTTTGAAAAAATTTAACCTTCGCCATAACTTTTCAACGGTTTGTACTAGGGCTTTCATATTTCACAGGTATATGCCTCGAGACAAGACCTTTCTTTGGGTACCAGCATTTTTGATTTTTTTGACCTGGAGTTTGTCTTGCATTCAAGAAATTTTAATATTCGCCATAAGCTGTCATACGGGGGCATCAGTGTTTCACAAACACATCTTGTTTTCTTTGGGAAGTGTAAAACACTTCTGTTTCAAGTGGCCAGGACCCTGTTACTTGTTCATTTTTATTTGTTTTGAACATATATTGTATTATTATACCTCATTATAATTATTCTACACAACGCGTTATCTGATTGGTTCTAGATTATCACGTGATCGGGCCATAAAACTTCATATTTCACGATCGTCGGCATGCTTTTCATCATATTCCCCCTCTTCGGATGCCTAGTGCATTTTCCCGCAGTAGTTATCGTTCGTTGAAAGAAAACTCCCGAGAGTAGTAGACGTCACAATAGCCTGGTTTACGTCACAAAACTGATGATTAGTGATGTGTCAAAAGGTTTCAGTAACTTTACGTTAAAAATGAAAGTGAATTTGAGAGCGGTGCCGAATTTGAAAGTTTATGTTTATTTCAAAGTTTTTGCTTGTTTCGGTATAATAAACAATTCATTGCATGGATGTTTGGGAAATATGAAGATTTATTCAGCCAAGAAATATCATATTCCCCTCGGGCGAAGCCCTCGGGGAATATGATATTTCTTGGCTGAATAAATCTTCATATTTCCCTCACTATCATGCAATAAATGTATATTATCTTAAAATACATGTACAAAAATATTGGATACAGTTGTTTCTACTTAATGGATCATTTCCTTGTCATACATACAGCGACTGTCAAACAAATAAATCATATGTATACTTAAGGTATACATGCTATGTAAACAGTAGATAAAATTACATAGTAATAAAGAAACACATGATATCAAAATATACCTGAGTCTCGAATGAAATATATATAATGATTACAAAGACCCAAGCAAATAAATTATATGTGTACAAAAGATTTAAAGCTAAACATGTTAATTATAAGAAAATAAGATACATAGTATGTGTTCAAAATCTTCCTTCGAAGACCTTGTTGAGGACATTTACCTAAGATTTGAACTTGATTTTCTTTATTCCTGTAATTGAATAGTTCTTAGAGAAGGACCTATGTGCAACTCTAAAATGAGGCTGTTCGCCTTTTCTGAAATATCAGGCAAAACTAGATGTTTGGTCATTTTGTGTAATTTTATTTTAAAAACTTTGATTTTCACCATTTGCTGTCTTTTCAAAACATCAGGTACAATGAGTGTACGCTGAATTTTGGTCTAGGAATATCTGATAGTGTAGCACATGTACAAAGATTTTAAAAATAGAGATTACCAATAGGTTATGTAAGTTAAGTATGACCTTAAAACCATCCGTAGAGAATCCAGACTCTCTGTTGAATAAGCAAGGTTAAAATGCAGACAGAGACAAACCCAGGCAAACAATGTAATACACACCTGTACTGTAGCTGACACTGCATGTATACGATAGGGTTGCTGTGCTACACAGTAATTATAATATAGATACCTGTAGTTAAACAAGTGTTAAACATATTACGCCTACGTAGAGAAACTTTCCACAGTATATATAAAGAGAGGTAACTCCAAGAACATTTTAAAAATAAGAACTATGGACACTGTCAACATATTTCTCTACCAATAAAAACTGGTTTCTCTTAAATTCACGATTACCTCTTTTTTTCTAAAACAGCAAGCTGAAAATTATATTTTAAAATAATCCATTTCTTATTTGTAAAAGTCTGAACGAATTAAATATTTAAAAATGTTTAACAATATTCATTAAAACAAGTGTATAAACTGTGAAATTTTAAGATACCTTCGAGTGAATGAACGCAGAAACTCTGCTTGGAGTGAGTTGTTTTTATTTTTATGATTAAAGGCATAGGCGTCGGAAGCAAATTGAAAGTGAGGGCCACTGGGGGGTGGGGGTGGGGGTTAAACCAACAAAAAAACGTTAGGGGTGCTAAACCCCAATTTTCGATGACTATATTATGTCTATCTTTGCAAAAAAAAAAAGAAGGGGGGGGGGCTAAACCAAAATTTTCAATGCCTATATTATGTTTATCTTTGCAAAAAAAAAAAAAAAAAGAGGGGCTAAGCCTCCCCCCTCCGACGCCTATGAAAGGAGAAACAAATCTCGATCCCGACCATATCAGAGGTACGCGTATAATGGTGCTTTATTTTGACTGTCGAGTTAATGTAGATTTTAACATGTGTTTAATGTATAGTAAAAAAGAAAAGAAGTCTGCACTGTGTTTTCTTCTAGGAACATGTCTTGTAAAACGGACTTTACTTGCGAAAATTCAAAGCTTTAACATACATTGTAAATGTTGAATTTAATGCACGGATGTAATTATAAATACATGTATATATCTGAATTCACGTACATGCACAGAAAAATGTGTATGTTTAAGGACACTCAGTGATATATATATATATATCATATATATGTCTATCTGACATATTATAATATCTCATCATAAAGTGTATATATATGCCAAAACACCCCCTGTGTACTTATATTATAAATAAGATAAGGTTATTTTTATGCCCTAGAAGATTTGGAACATAAAGTTTAAATTGTCTGTCCTTTTGTGAAAACTCAAGGAGGTACATGTATGTCACGCCAAAAGTTTATTTGATGGATGTTTAAAGTATTTCTTTTAATATATGATTTAGCCATCAAAAGACCAATATAAGGTTGGAAAAAAATTGTTTTGGTTGCAAATAGGACATTGCGGAGCTTAAAATTTGCATAATACATGTATAAATATTAATAAAACATGATGAGAAAAGTTTCAATCTAATGCTGAAATTTTTCTTTAAAAAATATTTATAGAAAAGACATATTTTACAAAGAAATTAAAATAAAATTGCAAAATTTGTAAAAATTTACTAGTTTCAAATTTGCACCAAATTTTTTAAAAATAATACAAAATTCAATATTCATTTTGAGGGGAAAAAATTGAAAAAAAGTCGTGAAGTGGGGTTCAATAAATCTAAAATTTCATGCGTATTTTAAAAGTTTTAAATATATAGATCGGAATAAAACTTGTCAGGCAAAACTAACTTAAATGGCTTGTATACCTTTTAATACATTATTTTTGTGTATGTGAAATAAATCAATTTAAAGACCTAGAAGATTCGAATCGTAAATCTAGTAAAAATTATTTTAGATTTCGTATATTTAGGGCACGATCATTTGATTCGGAAACAGAAGGGGGTGCAGATTTTGGAAATAAATAATCTGGCCTTGAAAATGTTGAAAATAAATGGCCTGACCTCAACTGGCAAGAAAATAAATAATCTGATCCTGAATGGTACTTACACCCCCCCCCCTTTCCCACGACCACCACCACCACGAAAATGAGTTTAGGGTTTTGGTGTTCGGACATTTCCCCTTTTCTACGCTTGTCAAACTTTTTCCAGTGAGGAATAAGATAAATATTCTGTCCTTGATTATCTTGAAAATAAAAAAATCTGTCCTTGATTATCTTGAAAATAAAAGAAATCTGTCATTTATTCCTTTGAAAATAAATAATGTCCTTCACTTGCATGAAAATAAATAATTTGATCCGAAAATTTTGCCACCCCTCCCTTCACAATCAAATGGTGTCCCCTTAGAAATTCATTCTTTTTGTGGCTTTGTCAGAGATTCTGCACTTGCTATACTTGCATACACATTCATCGAGATTTTCAGGCTAAATCAATGTTCAAGTGAGAATTTAGGTTTCAAGGAAATGGCGTTTTCAGAAGCATCAATGTTGGACATAATTGTACTTTTTTTTTTAGAATTGAGCACTTGCTCTCTGAAATGTTGGTTTTAAACACTATGTCAGGGGACAGGCCTAGAAACTTGACTAACGATTACATAAACAGTAAATAATATTTTGATTGAAAACATAAAACACGATATTCTTTTGTTTCTCATGACTTCTTGCTCAGCATTAATCATGAGATGATCCTATATATAATTAGTTTTTGTCAATATTGATATAGAAATGACATATTGGGTAAGCGTGACTGATGGGAGTGTGTATTTCATAGCATTGCCAAAACAAAATAAAAGACGTCAAGTTTACTTCTTCCCAATCACAGAAGTACATAGATAAAATACACGTCATGTTTAAATCACTTCAAGAGCTAAATATATATCTGAAAAAATTTAAAAAATCATGCCTTTGGTGAAAGGTATTTAAAGGTAAAACGTAAAATTTGTGTATTCACTCCACCTCAGTTAAATTCAGGGTGTGACAAAACCTTGCCGTGATATTGCAGTATTGATCTTCGTATAAAGCTACACTGCCGCGACTGAAGATCCAATTTCTCTGTTATATATACATCTGACGATTTAAAAAAAAATGGGTTGTTGTGATGATTCTTCCGTTTTGTCCAAAGTGGCTACAGTGGTCATCCTTGTGTCCTTTGTGTGCTGTACCATTGCTATATTCACTCCCTACTGGTCGGATCTGGAATCCAATGGGACTGTGAACTACACGGGTTTATTTTACACCTGTACTAATGATGTCTCTAACTGCTTTAACCTGGACAATGTTCTCTCTGTGTATCAGGGAACAGGTGCGTAGTCACTAGATTTATTTTTTGTTGAAAACCAGGACTATACACTGGAAAATTATTTCATATATTTATTTTAATTACCATGCAATAACATTAATTTTGGAAATAAATACATGCATGTTCTTAAGATATACAATGAGGTAGTGTCCAATAAATCATGCACCCACCCTCCAAATATATATATATATATATATATATATATATATATATATATATATATATATATATATATATATATATATATATATATATATATATATATATAATACACACGAGGACTGTCCGGTAAAATCTTTGACATCGCGTTTTTATCGAAAAAAAATGCACGCACTGAGCTGAAATTTTCAGCAAGTGTTTATTTGTCATATATTTAAGTGCATCTTACTATTTTTTTTTATATATTATAGGCAAAAATAAGGATTTTATTATACCTAAATGTGCACAGGGTATATGTTCCTACGGCGCACGACAAAAAGGAGGGGTTTTGAGTAACATAAACAAAAGATGCGAAATATGCTGATGATGATATTATTCAACGTCATTGGTTTAAAGAAACATTTTTTCCGTTTTGATAAGATCGTAATTAGAATAAATGCTTGGTTTTTAGTGACTGTAGGCCTTGTAAGAATACTTATAAAAAAATAAGTGCCATATTTACTTTTATAGCCTCAATTATACACTTCAGTTTAAAGGGAAATTGGAAGTCAAGAAAATATTTAGGACAACATTGGGACCAGAAACAATATTAAAGCGTCCTCAAAACTAAGTCACCTGAAAGTCAAGATTTTTACTTAATACGTAGAATAAATTTAAAGAGATTCGTGTTTCACATTTAGCAAATAAAAGATTAACGAAGCATCCAACCGCAGACGCTTAATTCTTCGTAGAAATGAATTGTTGGTAATATTGAGAGAGAAAATGCTTGTCAGTTTACTTTTTGCACATTCATCATAAAAGCATCTTTATTTCCAAGCAATCCTACTTTATTTTCTAAAATTTCAGATTACTATGACGATTTCCTTGCCACCCTGTCACTACAGCTGATTGGTTGGGTTGGCGTCCTGGTTTCCATGGTGATTATGATCGTTTTCTCTTGCTGTCTTCCCAACAAAATCCTTGGATGGGTGGCTGTTATATTCATGTTGATCGGAGGTAAATACCACACATATCAATATACTCTATCGATCGAAAGGAATTCTTTTACTTTTTTCAATAATAATAAAATTGCTAGGTATTAATCCATGGTAGGATTCTGGGCTGACTTTAATCCCAGTATTCAATACACTTGCTAGTTACTTCATTTAGCAAGTTTATTGAGCCAGTCGACTTTCCTTCGAAATGATTGCGTTCGATGAGCTTTCTGGACAAAAGAAATCAATCGTTCTCTATCGAAGTGTATTTGCTCGGTCGTCGACCCACATCCTTTTTATGAAAACTAAATTTATGACTCTAAATCCAAGTCAAGATCCAGTAGGTCAGAGACTTGAATAAAAATGTAGTCGGACACATCAATAGGGGTTAATGTTTTTTTTTCACAATTTTCTTTTCATCAGGTTTGTGCATCACAGTAAGCTTGATAATCTATGGTGCCTCCTTGATTGATCTCTACAACTCTCTTCTGAGCTGGTCCTTTGGTCTGGATGTTGCTGGTGCAGCACTTGCACTGACTGCCGCCGTCCTTATGATTATCAATAGTTGTATTATACCGTAATCTACAGCTCCCAACGCAGCAAAGAGCAGATAACCACGGCAGTTCTCTCTGGAGTTACTTCCCATTCCGACACCCTCCTGCAACGATCCATTTACGTTGAGATTGCATCCGACTACTCCGCGAATGAAGAAATCCAAATGACATTTAGCTTGTGCAGCGAATAATCGACACGTTTCTACATTCAAAAGAGTATCTTGTACTTATGTAGACTTGTGCCATACATTTCCTATACATTGTACATGCATTTTGAAAGGCGACTTCAAGAAAGTAATGCATCATTTCCATATCACCATTATACTCATTTTGCTCGCAGATATTCAGTTTCTTTTAATATGGATATTTTAATCTTTATGTGCAATACTGTTATAGGTATTTTGCAGTAATATTTCCTCAATTTATTACTTTTTTAGAGAAATAAAATGACACATTCAGTGGCGTATATTCCGTATAAGCAAAAAGGTTGTAGCCTACACATCATTTTCTTAATTAGGGATAAAAAATTTGTTGGAAAAAAGGGAAGAAAAGATGATAATAATTCTTATCTATTAATTTCATTTTGTTGCAAAATGCCAAAAAAGCATTCTTAGCAATCGGTACTTTTATATCTATCCAACGTTGACAGTTTTGCTATATATTTAATGACAAAACTTCCTATAGCTGGAATTTTTTAAATGATTAGTGATGGAAATGAAATTAATATTACTGGAAATATATTTTTGGTTAAATATATTGGTCGTATTCAGATTATTCAGAAAGGAAGTTTCCATATTTTCTAAGCAGAGTAAAAATGTGAATGTCATTCAGTTTTTAAAATCTGAAAATTTTAAGGGCATGTGTTCAGAATATAATGCACATCAAGAAGTAGATAGAGACTTAGTATGTACAATCCTAGAAAACAATAAGCATGGAAGTATCCAGCAAAAAGAAATATACCAAGTTCATACTTGTTTGATTTGCATGATTTTCCGTATTCTGTCTGGTCAGTCATTCATTTCTCAAATTCAGCAAATAGTAGATTTGAATTGGAAAACAATAATTTATTGAAAAAAAAACCAAACAAACATGCAAATGCCGACAAAATTCATTCAGATCCTCATCTCTGTACAATTATTCACAATAAATACAGGTCAAAGTAACTTGGCAGTATTGCCTAAAGTTATTCAAAGTACACAATTCCTGATACCCCACTCAGGCACTACACAGCAGTCAAAATATCAGTAGCACACAGCTACTTTGTCTCACACGCTGCATTTCATTCCTGGAATTTTGCATAGCATTTCCAACATTTTTTAATTTCATTTCCGACAATTTTTATTTTCATTTCCGACATTTATTTTTATTCATTTCCAGAATTTTTGCGGGGTACCTCTTCGGCATTTTAATGTTAACTAAATAGATGGAAATGGTATTTTAGAAGAATTTATTTCAAACCACATTTTCAAAAAATGCCTTATAATTTCCATCCTAAGATATCTGATTTCAAACTTAAAATGAATATTTGAAAAGGAGATAAGCGAAAGTTCACAACAGTTACTAGTGTCTCAGGGAAAGAAAAAAAAACATTTTCGCTTCATTGAAAGCTAACCAAAACTCATTATTTGGATTTCAATGATTTATTCTTTAAAATATTTATAACTGAAGTCTTCAATCTTGCTTTCATTGCCGAAAAGTACTACCTGAAAAATGTCGGAGATGAAACTTTGAAAATGTCGGAAATGAAAAATTGAAAATTTCAAAAAATTCTGGAAATGAAATGCATCCGTCTCACACAATGACTATTTCTTTTTCATACATTTACTCGGAGTTTATAGCAGTTAATTTACACTCACTCTGTTTCTATCTCATAAACTACAATCCCTGAAATGTTTTATTATCACTTTAAATCTTATCATCCAGTCAGTGTTATTTTTGTCAATGATTCTGTTAATATTTTTTAAAATAAAATAGTTTTTATCTAGTTTGTCTCTGATTAAAAGACTAAAAAAAATCTCTATAAAACCCAAACAATTGCAATTTGCACGGATTTGATTGTTGCTACATTTTGCACATTTAAAGGATATGTAACTTAAAAAATACAGAAAATAAATTGGCCTTCATTCCATTTTTTCACCATAAATACCTACATTGTAGCATCCCAGTAAAATACAGAGCATTTCAGGGACTATAGGTCTCTATCAATAATAACTTAATACATGTAGTGAGAGTTACTAAGACTCTTTCACACAGTAATTGATTATTACACAGTAACAATGTCACCCTTACAAACTTAACAGGTCTCTTTTAACAGATTTACACAATCTCCAATCACACAGTCACTTGATCTATATCATTCATTCTGTAGGGCGTCATTACACATTCACTGAATTTCTTTTGTCTACAAAAGTGATTATGTCTCTTTTTTACAGGGTCAGTATATCTCTATTTAACAAAATAGTCTAATCTCCAGTAAAATAATTCAATCTCTGTCATACACCAACAAGGCATTTATCATTCTGTTTCTTTATATCTATTATTTACATTGTCTCTATTTTCAACAAGTCTCTACATGTGGCAGTTACTGTTAATACTTATCCATTTTACTCTCCAAAAATTCTCTGTTTCTTCTAAAAATTAATTTTCCTTGTGTATCTGGGTATCTTGTACTGTCTTTCCCTGCAAAAAAAAAAAAACCATCCAGTCTTTTAAGCTACAGAAAAAAAATATTGCATTGTATTATTATAAACTTCAAAAATTCTCTACAAGAAGTTGTAAGTTGTTTATACAAGAGACCCAAGTGCCTAAACAGTCACCTGAGTATTATGAATTTTTCAGGCTATTACCACTTTGGGCCCACCTGGAACTAGCTTACACTTATATCAAATACATTTTACAGTTTCATGAGAACTCTTATACCGTTTTCAAATTTATGCAGCTTGTCCCCTGTAAATTCATTTGTAGATAAAATAAGAAATAATGTATAAATTTCAATATATGACCCCCCATCAATTTATAAGTTTTCCCCCCTATTCTTACATAAAACTTTGATCCCCAATTGTGGCCCCACCCTCCCCACCACGATTGGAACAAACTTGAATCCCCCGCTGTTCCCAAGAAGAAGAATAAAAAAGATTTTTCCTTTATATTCCATGTACATATTTTATCCCTAATTGTGGCCCCAACCCATCCCAGAGGGCCACATGATTTGAATAAACTTGAATCTGCACTACCTGAGGATGCTTCCATATTAATATTAATGACTAATATAGCTCTACTGCTCTTGAGAAGAAGATTTGAAAGATTTTTTTTTCCCTTTTGAATTCCTGGATAAAATTTTGATAAGGTTGGAACAAATTCGAATCTGCATTACCTTCAGGACACTTGCATATTTTGTAATAGGACAAATGAAGCTAGCTCTGTTGGTCTTGAGAAGAAGATTTTAAAGATTTTTCCTATGTATTCCTACGTAAAATTTTGATCCCTAATTGTGATCCCAATCTCCCCAGGGGAGCATGGTTGGCATAAATTTATATCTGCATTATCTGAGAATGCTTGCATATTACATAATAAGACTAACATAGCTAGCTCTGCTGCTCTTGCATAATTGGAAATTTACCTGAGGATGCTTATATTCTATTATGATAAATCATGGTCCTGCTGTTCTTGTGAAGATTTTTAAAGATTTCTCTTATATATATTCCTGTGTTAAACTTTCATTGCCTATCATCACCCCACCGTACCCCTGGGGGTCATAATTTGAACAAATTTGACCTGAGAATGCTTCCATTAATATGACCAATCATGGCTTTGCTACTCTTGAAAAAGAGATTTTTTTCCTTTATATTTCCATGTAAACTTTGATCCTCTTCTGTGACTCCACCCTACCCCTGGAGGCCATGATTTGAACAAACTTGAATCTACATTATCTCTGGAACCTTTCATTTAAGTTTCTGCTTTTTCTGGCCCAGTGGTTTTTGAGAAGATTTTTTTAATGACACCACATATTTTTTACATTTTCTTGATTATCTCCCCTTAGAAGGGGGCACTGCTCTTCATTGACTATCCTTACTCAAGGATACTCTGTGGCAAGTTTGATTGAAATTGGTCCAATAGTTCTTGAGAAGATGTTGAAAATGTGAAAAGTTTGTGCACACCTGCAAGACAATGGACAAAAACAGATAGCAATATGTCACCTGAGTTACTGAGGTGACCAAAAAATACTGTTATTCTCAAGCTCTTTCAAATGCACTTCTTCTGTGAGTGTATAAATTTTTTATTGATATGCCAAACAAAACTGAAGTTTAGATATTTGTACATTGTACATATTGTATAATGTGCTGATGTCCATATCTACAAATGACGACAATTATTGTAGTTATTCTGTCTGATACTAAGTATTACTCACTCTGTCCTTTTTCTGGTTTCTTCATCCACTTCTACAGGCAAAAATGAAAACTGTTCTCCACAAAGAAGTATTTTACTGTCAATAGATTGGAGGTAGTGCATCTATAATGAAATAGAACATGGAATCACTTTAGAAAACCAAGCTTCTGACTTAAACACCATAAATTTGAGGATATTTTTATATTTAAGTCTCCTTATACATGTTCAAGTAGCTGGAATACCAGATTGTGGCAAAAAGATTAGGCATTCATTTTCTTTAAATTTTCTATGCTGATTATTCCATCAGAATTTTGTTGAAAACTGACAGTCAAAAATTTTCCTCACTTTGAAATCAACAATTTCTTGCTTGATATATCGAATTCTTTTCTAAAATTTCTCAAAAATAATCAATTATAAAGCAGCAAACCTGTTTCCTAGTGTATTCTACCATGAACTCTAAACATCTAGGATCACAATCTTTAGCGTCGTAAATATTCAACCACAAAGCATGAGCCAGAGCAATGTCGGTTCCAACTAACAGTGCCTAATTAAAAAAAACCCAATAAAATACATGTTCTGTTATTACCAGAAAAGTTGCATACTTTTTTTTTTGTATGAATCTAGCCAGAAAATCTTTGATTACCATAACTTGATTTCAGCAAAAAACTAGTGATACAAACCTCATCATACCTAAACATGGCTGATTGGAAATGATTATTAAAGTAATGAAAACCATCCTTCTTCTGTTTCATCTGGGCCTTAAATTTAAGAAAAAAAATTATATGACAAATTTCAAACAGAAATGTAAGAATATGAAACATGAAAAAAATAAATACAACAAATACTTGAGTTAACATACACCAGCAAGTTTAATGCGGGGATCTAAGTCTGACCACATGGCGCTCACTAGAGCCATCCCTGCGACTATGCCATCATTACCGTCTCTCTGCAAGCGCTGAAGCATCATCCTAGAGACAAAAAACATGGATAACAATGCACAGTTGAACTTCAGTATCTTGAACACCGATATCTCAAATACCATTGACATGTCAAAATGATTTGGAAGTACCAACCACTAATTCTTTAAGTATTTTACCCTCAATATCTCAAATCCTCAGATATCTTGAAGTTTTTTCTTGATCTCATAAAGTCAAGAAAACAAGGTTTGACTGTATATAGCATAACGATGAAATTACTGATGGTATTTGTGTATGTTGGATATGACTTCTGCAACCAAAATTTTAAGTGAGTGTAATAATTCAAAATACTGTATCTTATTCTCGGCTTGACTGACAAAAACCGCGCTCCATCTGTGTTAAAAATACTGTATGTGTACTTAAAAAAGAGGGCTTCATATTTTAGCTCCTTTGGCGCAGACAATCTGAACTTAACCTGTAGTTGGGATAATGGACTAAGAACAAAATATTCCCAATATTCAGCCTATCAAGATACTGAAGTTAAATGTACATGTGCTGGCAATTCATCTTTCCACTAAAAGATTAAGTTGCTTTCCTTCAAATGTTTAACAGTGCAACAGTATTACAAAGTGTGGATCTATTATGATTATTTCTCCAGTGGGCATATTCAATGCATTGGCTTATTTATTGGAATTTGGTGGTGAATTTCACATTTTTGAGTTGGAAATTTACAGTGCATGTTTTATGGTCATAGTAAGAGAAGTTTCTTTCACACAGAATAAAGAAAGAAAGTGACTGTCAAATTGATTCAACTGTATTCTAACAGACCTAGTCTTAGGTGGATATATGTTGTACACCTTTTTTTCAATTTTTTTTTCATTTCATTCAGATATCAATCATCAAATTATACAAATATGTTACCATAAATGAAGTTCCAGTACTTTATAGAAAGAATAGAAACTGTCATCTAATTTCGCCACTGAAAAAAAGAAAAAAAAGCAGTACATAAAATTTATGACATAATTTTTTTACTTACATTTTTAAAATCGACTGAAGGTACTTACTTTCAAAGATTTCTTCATATGAAACATTGTCAGATATTCCCAGGACCAAAATAGTCCCTCCAACTTGTAAATTCTACAAAATAAAAACATACATGTAGATGAGATTCGTTGATGAAAGAATCAACACTTTTCTATGTCAAAATAAATATTGCAATTTTCTCTACTATATTTTCCCAAAATATGATGTCCATCTGCATTTATAATCAGCTGTAAACCAACTTTTATTCGCATGTAAGAAATATCCGCGAGTTTCATGACCTTCTTTAACTCATGAATATTAATCACCATGAACCATTTATTTTGCTGAGTATTTGTAGAGAATGTTTCCTCGGTCACAAAAATTAATTGTCGCGGATTGAATTCAAACTGAAGAATTGCAAACAAAAGATGACGCTAATAATAGTTGGTTTACAGTATGTCATGCTTAGACACTTCCTTTTGATCTTTTGCCATATATCCCTCTTTGTAAATGTACATGCATCTAGTGCTGACCCATTAGATGAGAGTTTGAAAAAATTTGAATCTAACCTTTACACTTATTCATACTAAAGTAGCCTCATCTCTGCCCCTGGGTATATGAATTAGGAAACAGAATAAATTTACACTACACATATAGGAGGATTATTTCATTCATCAATGTATAGTCAACACATCAAATTTTTGGTTAGATAAAAACTGAGACTTAATTTCCCAACCTTTGCTCTTTTGATTATTATTTTAACGAAGTGAATCTATACTGATTAAAAGTATACAAAAAAATTACTCTTTCGTGTGAGCATACCTTTCAAAGATTCATATAAATATTGCTTGTTGAAACTAACGGTATACTAAAAGTCACTTAAATTGAAAAAAATTGGGTTTTAGAAGAGTATGTAAAATAATTTTATCTGCCTTATCATCCACACTTGGTTACTGTTGAGGACTCTTTTGACCCACCTGTATTAGTATCGTACTTGGTTACTGTTAAGGACTCTTTTGACCTACCTGTATTGGTATTGTAGTGTCAATTTCTTGTGAAGACATCATTGACTTTAAACTGATTACCAGTCTACCCAGAAGTGATGGAGCAGTTCTCTCCTCAAAGTTCTCTGCCTTATCTGACATCCCTCTTTGTTGCATCTAATTCAATATCAAAATTATTGTAATTATTTCCATACAAGTATATTTTCTTCACCCTATCTGAACATGTTCTAAAATACTGTAAAATCACTTATTTTCTTGGGATCAAGTTTTTGTGGTTTTAGGAAAAATTACTGGTTCAAGGGGATTTAATTTTCATGGTTAAAGGAGAAACATAAAACTGCAGAGTGAAATTTTCACATTATATGGAGAATATGAATATTTGGGTCTCTTCAAACCACAAACAACGAAAATTATATCCCCAAGAAATTAAGTGATTCTATACGTTAATTAAACATACAGCATTCTTACAAGGCTGGTTACATGTAAATCAAACTATTATAACCATTTACATGTAAATGAAAAATTAATGAAATTTGATAATTTTGTTCTCACTTTGACTAGTCTAAAATATCTGATGTTTTCTAGGCATTTTTCACAATTTTGATATTTGATGTGTCAGGAAAATATCAGAACTGGGGCCACTATGAAAACTGGAAATTTCGCCATCCCAACTGAACTCGATTATCGATACTTTGAAGTCAAATTAAATGTCAAACTCACCACTTTTCAATAGCACAATGCTTCTAGTTCTCACCAATATTGCTTAAAAGAAAGTATCACTCCACATTTCAACAAAGGTCTCACAAGATTTCAAAATGCATGAAATCGAAACAAACCTTGACAGTTCGATAGAATGTTATCACCAGACACTTTTTATTACAAAGGAACAATGAAAGAGGTATTGGTAAGTACTATAAGCATTGTACTGTTGATAAGATGTGAGTTAGACATTTAATTCGGTTCGCATTTTTTTTCGCATTACAGTATGAATTGATGTTGATCTAGTTAACTTTTGCAAATTATGCATACATGAGGGAAACTTTTTTCAGACTGAAAACAGCTTGGCCATGAATTTTACATCTCTTATAATGAATTTTTGAAGATCTGAAAATTAAATATATTGAACTAACATTATTTTCTATAAGAATTTATATGATAAATTTATCAGAAAACTTTTGCTCAGAAAGGTTAGTAATGTATTTCATACTTCCCTAAACATTATATGTTAGTCATAGATGTACTTGAAGGAAAACATATATTGTGAATTCGGTATATAAATATATACATGCACATGACAAATTTGTTATACAGTTGTAACAATTATGGACATAGCAAATTTGATTCACAGGTCCCCAGACTTCGCTAAAACAGAGTTTTACAGTACATGTACACAGGTGTGTAGTAAACACACAGATATACGGAAGCTGTCTACAGGGAGCAAATGACTACAGAGATATATACATGTACTTGTCACTCAATAGGTCTAATACAGTCAAAAGTGAAGAAATATAAAAAAAATATTTTTCCATGTTTTCTATTATTTTCGTCTAATGGAATTTCACTAACCTCAAAGATGCTGATAAATGTGAATTAGAATATTCTAGTGTTAACAATAATTAGATAATTACAACAGCAGATTTTGAAAGGCCTGCAGATAATTACCAGTAACACTACTTTAAATATTAAAAATATGTGATGTGTATCAGAAAGTTTTCCTATTCAGACAAGAAATTTAATCAAAAATATTTAAATTTATTAACTGATTATCCTTTTTGTTTGGAACGAAAACATTTGGGCCATACATGTACTGGGATCATAATCGCTCAAGTCGCACAGGCTATGTAAATGTGACCACTCACATTTTCGTCAGAGGTGAAGTATAGAACATATATGTCAGTAAGGCCAAACAAAAAAGTATGTGTGGTTCCTGTTACACCTCCAAAAAAATTAGGGTAGGTAGGTAGGGATTTTTTTTTTCTTTAACAAAATGATTTTCTTAATTATACTAAATAATACTTATCACTACTTTGCAAATGACATTTAGATGTGGTGTGATAAAATACTAGTCAGTATTGGTAGGGGACACCTACATGCTAGCTTGCTTTGGATTTAACACTAATAAACACTTGCACTATGTTGTGCAAGGAGGCCATCATTGCTGAAACTAAAACTTAAACCGGAGCCATTGATGGAAATTGGGGAAAATTCCGGAAAAAATATGAAAATTGCCAAAAAAAAGTTTAGGGCCGGGGGGGGGGGGGGGGTATAAAATAGGGACGGTCGGGTAACCGGAACCACACATATTTTTTTATTTGGCCTAACTCCTTGACCATCCTCACAAGGTCAGGGCTTCGTGTCAGCTCGTTGATGTTGGACCCCTGACAAATTTCATTTGATATATTCGGGCTTGCTTCTCTCATTGAGAAGCACCAATCAAATTGAAGTAGACAGATGATATAAACAGAAAGAAATCAGGTGACACCTAAAATGCATGTGTTACGCATTGTTTATCACCGAAAGACTTAATGTGATTGGTTGAGCAATAAGAAAAACAATCAAGATTTTTAATTTTCCCAAAAGACATTGCTTCAGTCAGCCTGCAAAATAATTGAATGAAATTTGTTATTCCCATAGCAATGAGTTGACACAGGACCCTGACATTGTGAGGATGCTCCCTGAGAAGAAGAAGATTTTTGATTGATTACACAATTCATATGTTTTTGAGTGATAATCAAATACTATTCTCATCATGCTTACCAGTGTGATTGGTGCTTTTACTTGAGCCCCTGCATTTCCATATGTTGTAACAGACAGGAGTTTGGGCTTCTCACTAATTGATAAATTAGAAAAATGCCCAGTTCTTACCTAAAATAATCAAAGAAAGTATTTCATTGTTTATGGAATGGAAAGCAAATCTCATATAGCAATATTATAAGGTTTCACCTGCCAGTTTAACTCACCAGTATAAATGAATGCGGTTAAGTGTTAATTATCTAAAGGTAGTTAAGGTACATGGAATGGTTCTTCATCAGGTCCAGCACAATTTCTCTATTTAGCTATATAGCTTGGATTAGCAATATAGCTTTATTAAGCTATTCAAAATAGCTTGATAAAGCTATTTATATGCAGTTTTTCACAAATTTAAAAATGTTTTTTGTGCGAAATAGACAAAAAGTCGCAAGTATTTGTCTATTTGACTATTCATGTATGTACTATGGACTATCAAAAAAGCAACCCATTTCAAATTTAGTTCTAACATTGCAGCATTTGAATACTTTTCAGCAAAAGATGAATTTCCATTGTTTGAGTAACTGTACACTGCCTTGTTTGCGTTGAGACAGGGATAAGTTATGAGTATGATTGCTTCTCATTGTGCTGAATTATTACCAATCAATTATCTTGTTGCCCATAACTGACCTCCTTTATAATCTTATTCAAGAAGTAACTGTATGATCACAAATCAATTGCTTTACATACATGTAATCCCAAAATCTTTAGAACTTTGAGTACAAAGTCTCTCAAGGAAACGCAATTTGGTGAGTGATTTTTACAGGCATTGTTTTCAGACGAGTTCAAGGTTCAATATTATCACTGCATGAAGACTCGACTTTTTGTACATGCTGAAAAAACAACACATTGAAGAAAAAAGTGTGACAAAATAGCTAAATCAAGCTTTTGCTGAATATCTTAATAAAGCTATATAGCTAAATCAAGCTATATAGCTAAATCATGAGATTGTGCTGGACCTGTTCATTGTTAGTAACAATGTTACTAGGAGCACTGAAAAAGTACTATTTAATAGTAGCGCCTGCAAAATCTGTCATATCATGTCAAGATAAAGCAATAAGTCGACTTAAAGAAGGTTTTAATATAATGAAAACTGGAAAACTGGAAATCTATCCAACTGGAAGACAACCATTAATCTAGTAGGAAAAAAACAAAAGACGTGACATAGTAAATTCGGCCTACAACTTTTCTCCGTACTCACTTTTCTAGCTAGCCTCTCTGCAATCAGTTCATTCTTCGGTGGAATTGATTTAGTAAAACAATGGTAACATCTTGCTAAAACACAGCGAGACATAGCATATATATATACCAACAACGACGCTGGGGGATCCTTCAAAGTTCAAGCTCGAGTTTAAAGTTTTGTAACAAATTTCGTAATCCGAACTCTTTTATCGTGGAAATTAGAAAAGTACAGGCAATCATAGTAGAGCATACTAAGGATTGTCGGGCTTTTAGCACGGTCCAAATCTGTCATATCGCTTGGAAGAAAATTGTTAATACATGTGTTTATATATATAAAGTTAAAAGAAAAAATCTTTAAAAAAAATATCAATGTCAAAAGATGCGAAAGTAGTTCTGATTTAACATTGATCTTGACGCAAAATGCATAGGCACCCCCCAGCTTAATTGTTAAAAAATATATATCTACTATACTATAAAGTTATGTTTATAGTATAGTAGATATATATTTTTTAACAATTAAGCTGGGGGGTGCCTATGGCAAAATGTAATACGCATGTGAGTTAAGGCTAGGTATAGGCGTTTCTATGCAAATGAGCTAATAAAAACACATAAGAGGTATATTCTTTATTTAGAGAAAGTTTTGATTTATTTTCTGATGCATAATTAGTACCCAGGATATGTTATAGCCAGTACACATTATGACGTCATATCATGACGTCATTGATCTTACCTACTGGAGGTAATAAAACACATCAACAAAACAGCTTCGGCGCAAGGGATTACTCTTTTTATTTTTACATAAAAATGTATAATGCTGAGAAGAATATTCTATAGATTTATAAAACTGCTGCACAAATCCTAGGCATTTTCTCGTTTGATCGGAATTTGAGGGAACTTACACCGGACTGTACATTTTTACCCTGATTCAACTTAAAACTTTACAAATAAAAAGTTTACAAGTGAGCTGTTGATATTTGTGCAGCAATACCAACAATCTTTGGAATATTTTGCTTCTAAATATACCTTGTTTCAGTTAAATAAAATAGAACATGCCCTTGCGCCGAAGTACTTTTGTTGATGTACATTATAATCTTGTGTAGTAAAGAACAATGACGTCATAATGTGACGTCATAATGTGCACTGGTTGTCTCATGTCGTGAGTACCAAGTATGCATAAGACAGTATACACTTATTTCATGACTACGAGGGGAACAGTCAAACTGTTGTCCCGAGGTAATGGGGAAGACCTGGGAAACTGTTGCCCGAGGCCGAAGGCCGAGGGCAACAGTTTCCCAGGTCTTCCCCATTATCGAGGGACAACAGTTTGACTGTTTCCCGAGTTGTCATGAAATAAGTGTTTTATTACCTAACCTACTATATAATTTCTTAAAGTAATGATATAGACATAATAATCAATGGCTTTTAAAATACATTGACATAAGTTTGTATTATTTTTTAAAACTAAACTAAACAAGATGAATATTAATCAAATATTCACACCGATTGGTGTAAAATCAGAAAAATTAATGGGTGTGATATTATCATGCACTAATAAATTGAAAAAAAAAGCATGTAGTAAACAACATAATGATATCTTAAAGATTTAAATATTGCACGTTTATGGCAAAGATCTATACTGAATGAAAGGGGCCTACATTTTTCCCAAACTACTCTCAGAAAAGGTGTTCATGGCCTCTTCTTTGAAATGATATTAAATTGAATATATATTTAAATTGGTATCAGGTTTACTTTTCAGATGATAATTTCAAATTGAATGAAAATGCTTCAATTTATATATAATTCAATATTATAGCTGTAAAGTACGGAAAATTAACTATGACGTCATAATGGAACAGTTCAGCCATGCAACAGTTCATTTTATTACCTAACCTACTATATAAATTGTAATTAGGCATTTTGAACTGTTTCCTGATTCTTTTTAATGTTTTTGCAAATCATGAAACAGTCAAAACTGTTTACCTGGTCACAGAATGAACTGTTGCATGGCTGAACTGTTCCATTATGACGTCATAATTAATACCCCGTACTTTACAGCTTTAATATTGAATTATGTATTAATTAAAGCATTTTCATTCAATTTGAAATTATCATCTGAAAAGTAATCCTGATATATAATCAATTTAATATCATTTCGAAGAAGAGGCCATGAACACCTTTTCTGAGGGTAATTTGGGGAAAATGTAGGCCCCTTTCACTCAGTATAGTTCTTTGCCATACACGTGTAATATTCAAATCTTCAAGACATCATTATGTTGTTTACTACATTTTTTTTTTTCAATTTATTAGTGCATGATAATATCACATCCATTAATTTTTCTGAACACCAATCGGTGTGAGAATTTGATTAATAGTTTGTTTTTAAAAAATAATACATGTACAAACATTTGTCGATGTATTTTAAAGGCCATTGATTATTATGTCGATATCATTACTTTAAGAAATTATATAGTAGGTTAGGTAATAAAACACTTATTTCATGACAACTCGGGAAACAGTCAAACTGTTGTCCCTCGATAATGGAGAAGACCTGGGAAACTGTTGCCCTCGGCCTTCGGCCTCGGGCAACAGTTTCCCAGGTCTTCCCCATTACCTCGGGACAACAGTTTGACTGTTCCCCTCGTAGTCATGAAATAAGTGTATACTGTGACCGGGTAAACAGTTTTGACTGTTTCGTGATTTGCAAAAACATTAAAAAGAATCAGGAAACAGTTCAAAATGCCTAATTACAATTTATATAGTAGGTTAGGTAATAATTTTGACTGTTTCACGATTTGCAAAAACATTAAAAAGAATCAGGAAACAGTTCAAAATGCCTAATTACAATTTATATAGTAGGTTAGGTAATAATAAGTTTTAGCTTTCTCTCTATAATAGATATAGTCCTTAGGCATATTAATTAGTTTATTTGCATCGAAATGCCTATGCCTAGTCTTAACTCACCTGCGTAACGCAAAATGTTATAATCCCAGTTTATTATATTTTGAGTTGTTATTACATTTTGCGTTGTATCAATGCTTCCTTTTGTTTACACTTTTACTTTCTCTATATAGGTCGTTAACAATTTGTCTTACATTAAAATTTAATTTGAGTTTTAATAGATTCAGACGTGCAACAGTACAATTAACCTTGAATAATCGCCGTTTTTTTCATTGCAGGGAACTTAAGGCCGGATAGGTTAGTAGTGTTCATATAGTGAGAGAAACTCAAACTTAGCTCGCTACATTTCCATTAGCAATGTGAATTGATAACTTAAAATTGTCAACATGAAGGCTTTTATATAGTTTATAAGCTTGTGGTGGTTAACGGGAACAGAACATTTGCATAATATATCAAGCAGAAATTCTTGACCGTTGTGCCCATGTCGTTCAAAGGGAAATTATTTCAGTTAAGGAACTTTAGTGTATGCAAATTTCCCAAAAATACAACCAATTGCAAATAACAATTGTATGTAAGAGAGTTGTATGGTATGAGGAGGTAGGGGATAATAAATAATTGCACTTCACTGCACTGTATTGTAATATCCCTCAATACCATCATGCTTATTAAGCATCATCGTGAAAATAAACTTAGTCATATTTGACAAGTCTTTGACATGATTTCATTTAAAAGGACACTTGCTTTAAAGAAAATATCGAATTCCTTAAATTTTTAAAAATTGTAAATTTTTATTTTTGTCATTCCCTTATTAATCTAGACAGTTTCTTTTTCATCACTTGTAGGACTACGAAAGCCGGATAAGCTCATTTTTGACAAGATAAAAAAATATTTAAATCGTTATAACGAGATAGTTATCTCGTTATAACGAGTTAGTATCTCGTTATAACGAGTTAGTATCTCGTTATAACGAGATAATTAAGTCGTTATAACGAGTTATTTATCTCGTTATAACGAGTTAGTTATCTCGTTATAACGAGTTAGTATCTCGTTATAACGAGTTAGTTATCTCGTTATAACGAGTTAGTATCTCGTTAAAACGAGTTAGTATCTCGTTATAACGAGTTAGTTATCTCGTTATAACGAGTTAGTTATCTCGTTATAACGAGTTAGTTATCTCGTTATTCTCGTTATAACGAGTTAGTTATCTCGTTATTACGAGTTAGTTATCTCGTTATAACGAGTTAATTATCTCGTTATAACGAGTTAGTTATCTCGTTATAACGAGTTAGTATCTCGTTATAACGAGTTAGTTATCTCGCTATAACGAGATAACTAACTCGTTATAACGAGATAACTAACTGGTTATAACGAGATACTAACTCGTTATAACGAGATACTAACTCGTTATAACGAGATAACTAACTCGTTATAACGAGATAACTATCTCGTTATAACGAGAAAACTAACTCGTTATAACGAGATACTAACTCGTTATAACGAGATAACTAACTCGTTATAACGAGATACTAACTCGTTATAACGAGTTAAGTATTTTTTTATCTTGTCAAAAATGAGCCTATCCGGCTTTCGTACAGGACAATATTGAAAAAAAAAAATCGGACTTAATCTTATTAATTTTACTTACAGAAACATATTCAACATGCATTTAGTATGTATTTTTCTGATTTTTAATCAAAGTCTGTTTGTAGCAAGTGGACTAAAGATTTGGTTGAAGATTCACAATTTCTTTAAATTAATCATTTTGGATTTACTATGCTTTGAAGGTAGAATGAATATATATTTTTATACAAATACATGTATAGACATGTACAAATTCTTAAAAACTAAATAATATTTGAATAACGACTTAAAACGATTATGGTGATAAGTAAAGGAATTTTTGCAATCAGTTATGGTGTATTTCTCTTCAATAACTAATGTTAGGTGAAATATCATTTCTTGGAAGCACCAATGAGAGAGAGAGAGAGTCAATGTTGAAATTCTCTATATTTTCAGGATAATGATCAGAATTAGTTAAAAACATGAATTACAATGTATAGATGAAATTTATTGAAAGAAAACAAAATCAATGATTATTTCTGTTTACGCCTTTATTTTCTTTTATATATTATGTCATTAATAATTTGTCGTACAATGGAATTTAATGCGGTATTTAAAAGATTCAAATGCCAGTGCAAGCGTACAGTTTACCTACGAAAAAAATCGCTAATTGTCATTGCAGGGAACTTCAGGC